AAGCTTAGGGGACTCTTTGCTATCTTTATTTTGACACGGGTGGAACGAGGACGAAGTGTGTGTGGGGGTCCTGCAGCTCGCACAAAATGCCAACCAGCCGGTTGCCCAGCACTGCTCACCTGCAGGTCAAGTGGGAGGTTCGCTAAGTATTACCATCGATACTGTATTCTACAGGGTTTTATGAGTAGCGCAGGGACCAAGAAGACGGAAATTATGAACACAAACACCGGAACGACGATGCAGTGAGAACATCAGCACAAGAACTGAGCGCATTGGATGTCCTTGTCAAAGCTGACTGATTCAGAAAAGCGGTATTGTTCAACCTCAATACCACTTGTTCACAGATCGACTGGTTGGCTTCGACCTTTTTCTTTCCCTTCGATCCCTCCTTATCTTCAAACACTCAAGTCCAAGACTACCATGGTTCTGTAGCGTTGATACGGGAAAACACCCTTCTCCGCGACGCTGATGCATTCGACCCCGTGGGGTTATCGGTGCACTGATACTGCGTTCTCTAGTCATAGGCCACCGTCGATCAGCGTTCTCGTCAGTATGCAGAGCCTACATGTCCCGAACAAAGAGAGAGCCCGGCTTAACCACGAATCGGAACATCATCTCCTTGTTCAAACCAGGTCATATTCCCCGTAAGTGCCATTGAGCCTTTGTGCGACCAAGCCCGAGTCGACCACAAAATTGTCCTTCTCCTACGACACGGAGCACAATTCTTTCAAGCACCCCCATATCCAAGCATACGCCCTGGCAGTCTATGAGAAACAATTGCTAACCCTTATTGACCTACAGGTTCGATCGCGAGACGTTTCGTTCAGAATCGATTGCGTCAAAGGCAAAGCCACAGCAAGAGAGCAGCTAGGAATATTCGAAAAAGGAAGGATATTCGTCTTTGGTCACTCGATTTGGGAGCCACTGCGGTGTCGGCATTATTCAGCGGTGACCGCATCCAGGGCGCTATCAATCTTGACGGCGACATGCTCAGCCCTGTCGTCGAAAATGGTCTCGACAAACCCCTCCTCCTCATTGGAAGGCCTCATTATCGAGAACGGGGTCCGTCGTGGAGTCAGCGAGGGCCATGCATGATGCTGTAGGTTGAAGACACAACGCATCAGTCGTTCTTGGACGCGCCATTGCTTGTGAGTTTGAGGAATGTTCGATGACTTGAAAGCTAGGTCGAAGCTGCATTGGGGACATTCGATGGAAGGCGAATGGCATCTCTTGTAGTTCCGCTGACCATTGCGACTCTTGAGTACAGTCTTGACGGTGCCGAGTACCGATTATGTCGTTTAGTTGGGAGCCAACCGGAAGTCACGGTTTGGGAAAGCGAGGGAACCAACTGTTCGTGAGTAAAGTCTGCTTCCTTCTGAGTGAGGACGTTTCAGATATGGCAAGGCCGACGAAGATCTTGCATTTATGACTGATCGATCATTGTCTGCCGCTCCAAGAAATATACCCTCTTTGTAACTTGGTGACTCTAGTGTACTAATCTGAAGATGCATCAACGCCACGCATGTCATTGGGTCGCAGCCTAACGAATTGGCGCTTATGTCAGAATAACAAGGCCCAAAGCCTTATAAAAGCAGACGATCAGGAAGATCATGAGACAATAACTCTCAACAGAGATCAAGTTGAGATCGTGCAATGGCTCCTACAATCTTCATCGTTCCCGGGTTCTATGAAGGCCCCACGGTCTGCAACCCTCTCGCCGGCAGCCTCAACGAACGAGGGTTCAAGACCATTATCACGACTATCTCCAGCACTGGCAAGACTCCTCCAGACAGCCCAAACATGGATGGTGACATTGCAAACATCGCCAAGGACCTTGCTCCAGTTGTTGAGGAAGCAGGCGAAGAAGGCATCGTTGCAGTCATGCACTCAGCTGGTGGCTTTATTGGGAGCGGTGCCCTCAAGGGTCTGACTTTCAAAGCCAGGCAGGATGCTGGAAAAACTGGAGGAGTTAAGAAAATCATCTTCATTGCTGCTGGCGTTACGCCCGAGGAGTTTGAGCAAGGGCCAATGCCGTTCTTTGACTATCATGTAAGACTTTCAATTTCCTTCGCAAGACCAAGTTTCTAACCAGCCTCTAGGAGTCGAATGGCACACAGTCATGCAAAGATCCCAGGAGCTTGCTCTATGGCGACTTCTCAGATGAAGAGGCCAACAAGTGGCTCCCGCGTCTTCAGCATCAGGTTGACAGAGGCTGGGCGACCAAGCTCCAGTATTGTGGGTGGAGAGAAGTGCCAGCGTCTACGTTATCTGCGAAGGGGATAGAATATTACCCGTTGCTATCCAGGAACAGTTCGCGGGTCTGGCGGGCAGTGAGATCGTGAGGATTGGTGCGGGACATATGGTGCAGTTGAGTGAGACTGAGAAGGTGGCTGACATCATCGCTTCACACGCGGGTTAAAACGGTCAACACATCCGCATGGAAATAGCAGACGGTAGCAAAGGAGTTGCCAATCAATTCTCTATTTTCCTATTTGGCAACCAAGGTCATGCCACAGAAAGCAGGACATCCGGCGAAATTGCCAGCTCACCATTCTCCAGGCTTACCGCTCCCAATGACCTTTCGCAACGCCAGCTATCTCGAATCACAGCTGTTCGTGCCTTCTCATTCGCGTTTCTCCTTGACTGATCTCCATTCCGTCATCAGGCTTCCAACTATCGCAACTGAGGCCAGCCCAGCTACGAGATACCATGTCTGCCCGAGACTTTTATCGATTGCAGCGAAGACCTCTCTTGTGGCAGACTCTGGCAAATTGCTAACGATCTCGGTAAGGCCGCTGTTGCTGATATGCGTCCCATTCAGACTCGGTACGATACCAGCAAGGTTATCAGAAAGTCGGTTTGTGAAGAGCACCTGAGCAATGGGAACAGATACAGCGGGACCGAAAGATTGGGCAAACAACAAGATGGCTAGACCGAGCGGGACGTCTTCAGCTGGCAGAACTGTCTGCACAGCTGTTTGGGGACCAATGAACCCAATGCCATATGCCAGGCCAGAAAGCGCCGAGTAAGCAATAAGCTTTTCGAAACTGGTATCAATCTTGAACGTAGTGATAAGCCCTGAAGCGATTGGCATGATGATGGAAGCGAAGAGCATGAAAGGCGTGTAATAACCGAATGCGCTTGTCCCTGCTCCATGGATGAGGGAACCGATTGTTGCCGCGATGATGATAGGTAACATCATGTAGCCGCTCTTAACGGGCGTGTATCCACGAACAAGCTGATAGTAAGTAGGCAAATAGTACTCCAGCACTACACCTGTGCTGTTGACGCAGAATATGAAGATGAAGCCCGCTACCACGCAGCGTTGCTTCATGATGCGAGGAGGAAGTGCAGCGGCATCGCCTCGGCGGATTTGATTCCAGACAAACACACCAGGAAGAACAGCGAATGTAACTAGAGGTCCAATCACCTGGCCGCTGCTCCATGGGTACACCGTACCCGCCCACGAGAGGGCGAGGAAGAGGCTTGTGAGCGCCGGGAGGAGCAGTATGTTGCTGACGAGGTCAAGCTGACCAACCTTCTGCTTAAAAGATAGTTCAGTAACTCCACCCGACTTCTGATCATCCGAAAGGCAAAACATGGTAAGAAGAAGAGTAACGACACCGGTGGGCGCGCTGATGTAGAAACACCATCTCCAGCTGAGTGTCTGAAGCGCACCACCAAGCAACGGCGCAGCAATCGTAGCCAGACCCTCAGCAGCGCCTAGAACTCCAAGAAAAAGAGGCCGTCGACGCAGAGGTGTCGATTGAACGATGATGATGAATGAGCCCGCGAATAGCCCTGCAGATCCCAATCCAGCAACAGCCCTTCCAACAACAAGCATCGTCGACGAAACAGCAGCGCCTGAGATCACAGATCCAACTATGGAGATGAAGTTGGAAAGAAGAAAGATGCGTTTGACGGAGAAGAGCTTGTATGCTTTCCCGAAGATGAATTGGAAAGCGCAGACGCTGAGTCTGAAGGCGGATGAGTACCAGCCAACGTGGGCTACCGTGTGGAAGTGATCGGTGATAGCTGGTACGGCTGTGGCGACTATGTTCATGTCTATGCTGGCCAGGACGAGGATGGAAATGACGGAGATTATGGTCAGCCAGAGTTTGATGCCTGTTGGGTACTCTTCGTCCGGCCGTTCACTTGGCTCCGCAGCATGGCCCTCGGCAATGCTTTCGCGTTCATGATGACTAGTGGTATTGTCGTCAACTTGGCGGTGGATTTGCTCTGACGGTGTCTGTTCGAATATCATGAGTTCTGCCATTGTTGTTGGTCAAGGCGTTGGTAAGCAGAGTAAATGAAGAGGGGCACAGTTGAACCATGGATAACGCATCCCTGTCATGCAGATCCTTCCCCGATAACAGCAGTCCTCCAGGTTAGTTACTAAGGCTGTATGACACCATAAAAAATAATGGCAATAATGAGAGGACTGCACACAAATACTACTTAGAGAATTCCTGGTTTACACGGCAGCCTGGGAGTGCTAATGAGAAGCGCATGTAATGGTGTATCAATTCAGGGCAGGCAGGCACTCGAGACATTTTGCTTACATTACATTACGACTCGCGTAACCTGGGAGTAGATGTGACGGACTTCAGGCCCGTTTTTGTAGCATCTTGCCCGACCTCAGGAAGCTCTCCTGCTTTGCGAGGTCAAGGTGCGGCGACTGCTACTGAGGCTCTGGCGCAATCTTTGGCAAGCTGACTCTTCTTCTTAGATCGAGATCCAGCCATCATGGCATGCAAGCGAGCGGCAAGACAGGTTTATGAAGTCTAAATTGTATAAATAATTAAAAGGAGTGTCCTATGTGAATAATATGTAACTCAGGCAAGTTGAAGCCTTTTAGAAGAAGAAAGAATGTCTGATGCCGGAAATATGCAAATGCCCAACCCGTTAACCCAGTCCCAAACTCCAAAAACCATCTAAATGTTTAATAACACTTTTACTCCTTGCCGGGGTACTTTCCAGGGTACCACTTCCCATCATCGTAACCGGTCTTGCCGCCCTCATATTTTCCCTCATGCCAGCTGCCATCATCATTGCGCTTGGCCTTGTGGTCAGGATGGTACTGGCCATCATCGAAGCCAGTGCCGGGACCTTCATATTTGCCTTGGACTTGTTAGCCTCGAGGTTCTGATGACTTGAAGATGTGTGACTTACCCTCTTCCCACTTGCCATCGTCAAGGCCAGTGTCGCCGCCTTCGTATTTGCCCTCATGCCAGCTTCCATCATCCTCACGCTTGGCCTTGCCACCGGGGTACTTTCCGGGATACCACTTGCCATCATCATAACCAGTCTTGCCGCCCTCGTATTTTCCCTCGTGCCAGCTGCCATCGTCGTTGCGCTTGACCTTTCCGCCAGGGTACTTTCCAGGGTACCATTTACCGTCATCGTAGCCAGTCTTGCCACCTTCATACTTCCCCTCGTGCCACGATCCGTCATCGTTGCGCTTCTCCTTGCCGCCGGGGTATTTGCCGGGATACCATTTGCCATCGTCGTACTTGGTTCCTGGCTTGCCCTCGTATTTACCCTCATGCCAGCTACCGTCATCGTAGCGCTTGGCCTTCTTGCCGTCCTTGCCTGGGTGGTATTGGCCATCGTCAAAGCCGGTACCGGGGCCCTCATACTTGCCTGGCAATGTTTAGTATGGCGAGTGTTGGAGGGATCGTGAAGACTTACCAGGAGCCCACTTGCCGTCATCTTTGCCAGTATCACCGCCCTCGTATTTGCCTGATGCTGTCAGTATGAGACTGGATGATGGAATCAGGGAAACATACCGGGAGACCATGAACCGTCATCGGCGGGCTTTGCAGTGGGAAGGGCCAGAGCCGTAGCGGCAAAGGCGAGAAGGGTGTATGAGTAGCGCATGTTGAGAGATGAAAGTTTATATGTAAAGAAGGGTTGTTAAGAAAATTGTAGTAGAAGCGATTGAAGCTGTAGTGATAGTGGAAGCGACGGTGTTGTAGCGAAGGTTGTTGTGATTGTTGTAGAAGAGATGATGATGAGAATGATAGAATTAATCGAATGGAGGGAATCAAGCGTTGTTTATATACACAATCGCATGTTGCTAGATCCAAACTTTGGCTATCACCTCTAGCAGATGGTGGTGGCTGGCGCCATAGCGGGATACCTCACTCCAACATTCAAACTCAGTCGCTGGTAAGGCTGAGCTGGACCTCGATGGCCGACAAGAGTTCATGTCATGCCCTACGTCAATTAGCAAAAAGTTACTATTTTCGGGTGCCCCGAGCTCCTACGAGAACTTGGGAGCTGCTGCGCCCAGATCACGCCAGGTCAAGATCAGCGCTAGCTGCTGCGCAATTCGAAGCTATCCCCAAAGTGTCAGGGCTGAGGCCGTGGAGGGGGTCAGCCCCAAGACCAGTTTTTACCCCGCAAGTCATAACTGTCATACCCGAGAAACCGGGCTGAAAGACGTAGAGGTCAGCTGTGCCACCGCCTTTGCTCTTCCTGTCTGCGTTGTCAAAATCTGATCTTGGCTTGAGGGATGGAGGATGGAAGGACTCGATCCTTCTCGTATCCTTTGGCTGTTCCGGCTGTGAGAGTTGCATCCATCGTTGCGTAATATGTTTGGTCGCAAAAGTGCAAACTTCAAGCCAAGAAGTTCAGCTTTTCGGCAGGCTCTCGAAATCTCACTAAGCCGAACCGTTCTATGACGGATACTCGAGCCCAAGCCAAGAATAAGCTCAGCCCGCGGATGGCTTCGGCCCATTGCTTTAGCTAAGCTTAAAAATAACCAATTGCACAGCCCGATTTGAGTCTGACATGAGTAGCCAGAAAATGATAATGCTCCGGCTGAATAGTTTTGGGGGAGTACAAGAGGTCTTGGGACTTGAGAATGGCGGAGGCGGTTGAGGGTGTAGAGAACTAAGACATGGTGCTATCGATACGAGACTTTGCGTCGCGCACATGATGGTTTTGAGAATATGATCCGGAACTAACCTATTTTTACACTATTATTCAAGCGTCTGATTAGATCTTGACTTACTTTGACTAGATGCCGCGGCAGCTCTTGAGCTTGTAAGCGAAGGATGCATTATACACTTTATACCGCCTTTGAGTAATAAATTGGTGAAAAGTAAATCTAAGCTTAGTTATCATTTCGGCCCCGTCATAGAGGATCAGCACAAATGTCACCATCCGCATGCATGATTGACAGATTCTTGGTCCACCCAGGTCAGAGCCTCAGTGTCACATGCCCCCAACTTGAGCTCGATGTAATGTAGCATTGCTTACTTCTGCAGTTACCTCAGAACGTGGGATTATTGCGTAACCCAGATTAGTCAAATTACTAGAGCTGAAAATCGATGATGCTGAGAAAGCTGATGAGGCGCTGTTTGTAATTGTCTTTTGATGAATGCAGAACTTACCTTGACTCAAGCTGAATGAGACACGTGCGAAGTATCGGCATTATCCAGTCAGCAGTCAGAAGTTTCAGTAAGTCGAGTCTTTCTCCAATGGGTATTTTGCCGAAAAGGCTCCCTTCTGGCGTCTTACTGTAAGCGTAGTCTTGCTTCTCGTCTGCAAAGGACATCATCCAATTCGTCTCAGCATCACATCAGCATCGACTTTCGCTTTCCTAGGATACAAAAGCCTCCGTCGGAACTAGGGAAGAACTTGTGCGACCATCTACGTTTTGGAACTTAGGTCGATCAGAGTTTCGGCGGACTTTTCTTCCCAACAAGCATTCACTAATTGAAAACTAAGTATAAGCCACGAGATAAACTCCAGGCCGGCCATAGATTTGGACTGCACACAGTACAACAAAACATGGAACGATGAGTATGGAAGGGCTCGTGCTGCATGAGTACATTGTTTATTGCCTGTGCGAGTACTCAGACAAATGGCGGGAAGTATTCGCTTCAACCCGCATGTCGCTTTCATAACCGCGGAAAACAATGGAAAGTAACAGGACGCGTCCTTGGATGCTTGATACAAATGTTCTGAGGGAAAACTTAGCACCGATAACTGATGAGACATCATAAGCTTTAAGGATCAATCAATAGCTGATGTTATCGCCAAAGGCTCACTCAACTCAATGTAAAGCTACTCTACTCTGCTTCGTACAGAGATCCTGCAAACCCAAGTAATCAATCGCTATCATTACCCAGCTTCAAATCCGACATTCCCAACTTCAAGTCAAGGATTTATTCATTTGTTAAAAGTTCTCTTCTTCAACCACCTGTTCACCAACTCCAGACCCTCTTTCGGCTTGTCCTGAGGAACCTATTATAGCTTGTTAGCATCAGCTCCTTCCCCAAAATCAAAGCACTCACCATATGGCCAGCTCCATCAACTGTAACAAAAGCGAACGTAGTTTTCTTATCGGTCTCGCCCATCGTGATCTTGACCTCCTTGTACCATCCAAACTCATCACCACCAGCGCCCCAGGACCTCTGTCGTTGCGCAACATATTCCGGCTGTCCTTTCCAGGGCATACTGTTGCTCCATCTCAAGTTACCAGCTGTGTTGCATGCGAGGTCGAGGTTTCCTTGGTACATTAGCACGTCGATATCGTGATCGAGCAAGTATAGAATCTGTGACTGGGTGCTGATTTCTTGGTCGTATCCCAGACTAAAGGCGACTTCTACGTCCATCGCGTAAATGGAGTAGTTCGTCACTGCACTGGGTACGCCCAAGGCATCGAAAACCTTTTGAGTGTTGAGGTATTTCTCAATCAGGCCTGCTTGCTTGTAGCATAGATCATCTCCAGATTCACAGGGCCTGGTGATGTCGAATCTGTTCCTATTGCCGCCGGTGCCGGATTCTCCATCATACCAACTGATGACTCCATCCCAGCAAACTTTACCAGCAGCACCACAGATGGCATGATCAGGATGCTCATAGCATACCCGTGCGAGGTCAAGGCATCGTGGAAGGTTGGCAGCCATAATGTCACAGCGTGTGCTGTTGAAGATAGGCTTATCAACACCTGGGTTCGTAGTGCAAAGTGTTTCCCAGTATCCGAAGTGGGTGTCCAGAGGGGAGACGTAACCGTTGCCGATGAGGACTGACTCCAGGTTGACTTGAGGCCGCTTGGGGTAGAGACTGTTCTGTGCAACAATAGTCGCTCCCAGCACGGGGATATAGTGGCCCTAGAGAATCAATCAGTCACGTCGCAAGACAGGGAATGCCTGGTCACCTACTCCGTAACTCTCTCCCGAGATATGAAAGGGCTTGTCGGCAAGATCCGGGAATACTTGGCTCACAAAGAGCTGCAAGAACTTATGCATACTCTCAGCAGCGACGAAGGAGTTTGACGGAATTGGCTCTCCGTCATCCAAGTACGAGAACCCAACACTAGCAGGCTGGTCGACAAAGATGTAGTTCGCATTCTCATTCCACCCATAAGGGTTATGAACCGTTCCATTGCCATGCTCGTTGATCAGACACGGTCCAAGCTCTTGAAGCAATCCCAGCATTGAGGAACCGCCAGGGCCTCCCGTCAACCAAAGCACAAGAGGGTCTGTTTTTGGTGCATTCTTGCTCTCAAAGTACCAGAAGAAAAGATGCTGGTTGTCTACATCGAGCCAGCCGGTGTACTGCTTCACGCGGGCGTCGCATATGGAGTCGTCAACCTGCTCTCTGATGCGGATCGTATGTTCTGGAAACAGGGAGCTTTGGTGGATTTGGAACGTGGAGGCTTGCGGTAAGTCAGTGTCCTTGAGCGGTATCTGCGAGGCAAAAGCCCCAAGTGAAGCCCCCGCTAGGATCAATGCCGTTCTGAGAAGGCCCATTATTGTGATATTTCTCGATGGAAAAGTTGAGTCGGGATTGAAGACGGTTATGAATTGTCAGACGGTGAGACTCCCGCCGAGAATGGTTAGTAATCCTCGCGGAAATGACGACAGGGAGCTCACCAGGGTAAGTTGCAAAAGGTCCTGCAAAAGATCCTGTCTCAACTTATCTTTTACCCCGCTTCTACGGCATCTCAATCCGTCAAGGATCAGGTCTAGTCTTGATAAGGAAGCTCGCGGCACATTTTTGCTGTTTTCCGATGAACCTGAAGACCAGGGCAGCGCGTCAATCAATTGAAGCCTACGTCGCTTATCGGGTGTTCTGATAAGACGGGTCAGAGATGGCCCGTGTTTTGCAATGGCAAGTTGCCAAATACAGAGAGGTTACAAATCGCTTCAACTACTCGATCAAGCTCCATGTTCAAGTGATTGTTACTTGATCTGACTGAATATTCATGGTGTTTCGAACATAGTGGCTGATTTTCTCTCGCTACCCTCATCCAACGAGCATGCACAACTCGCTGTGAAAGGATCGATAGCTCAGTGGTACGAGCGAGGGATTGCAGATCCCTAGGTCGCGTGTTCGATCCACGCTCGGTCCTAAAGCTTTCTTTTTAAATGAACTTGTATTAATTTCTATACCAACTTCATTTTTGTGTATGGTAACTATGGTTGCCATATCAAGCTTATAATCAAGTAAACATCCTCATTGTCAGATTTCTGCCCTTACTTTGCGTTCCCGTCACATTCTGTAAGTGACTCAAAAAACTCCAATCATCGGACAATTCCAAGTAACTGAAAAGAAGGTCCTTGATCAACTCGGGACACTCTGCAGCCATCTCGTCATACCATCCCCTTGTCTTCATCTCCGCCTTTATTCCAGGACTCGGGGACCTCAGGAACTTTACCAACTCTTCCCGCAGCTCATGTCGATGGTCTGGGGTTGAGTTGTAGATAAGGGGTATCAAGGCAAGAACTTCTTCCAACATCTCAACGTCGGAGAGTTCACAACGGAATTTCCATGCTGCATATTCAGCAAGTGGCTCAATCCTGTACATGTCACCCATCGCGAACATGTAAATGTGGTCGTCGAGATCTGAATCCTCGGGGATTAAGTATGCTCCCGTGTAGAGGAAATCAATCAGCCATTTCACATGATCCACAGAGAACTGTGAGAGATCGATCTCGTTTGTAGTAGATTCCTGTGTAATGTTAGCCGCATTCATCAGTATTAAAGGCAGTCAAACCTTAAAGGGCCCAGTGCATGCCTTCTGGAAGACCGTTGATTGACTGCAGATGATGACCTTGTGGACTTGGAATCGAGTATTCCCGCAGATGAAGGCAAAGTCCGTGAACTCATGGTTGTCCCTTGTTCTGTAGACAATATTTGGTAAGTTGTTCTGATACATCGGGATCAAGGGTAGTCATACTGCAAGAGGCCTATTCGAAAGTCTCTACTCATTTTCAATAAGTTCGGGTGAGTTCTGGATATGATGTGGTATTACACAACCTGTCGAGTTTTATTTCATAAGTAAATGCATGGGACAGTGATATTTATATCTAGCTTCGCAGAACAGACTTTGCAAATAGCATCATGCTGGCGAAGTGTAAACTTCAGAATTTAACATACTCCAAAACCATGTAGTCAATCAAACTTTTGCTTCTGACTTTCTGTTTGGCCAAGTTTGACATGTCTGCCCCTGGATCATGTAAGACCATCCTACTTCGCGATCGAGATAACTTAGAAGAACAGAGAGTTTTGTTTCATTAAAGCTTATACAATATGGCGAGTGGTGACTCGTCCGTTACTTTATACTCTGTATATTACACAGTTTCTTTTGAAAGTATACTCTATCCTAGAAAGCATAAACCTCACTTTTTAGCCTTTAGCATTTGTGTGGTGACGCCGGAATCCTCGCATTGTTTTAGGTTCCGAGGCTTGTTTTAACTTGAATCTACGATTGGTCCTGGTAGAGCAGCAGACCTGTGTTTCAAAGTCACATGCCCCGCAGCTAAATTATAAGATGGCGTATGAATGGGAGCTTATCAGTCAAAGACACTATTTAAGGCTTCTGTAATATTCAGTACCTGCAGCTGTTAGTTCTCCTCTTCAGATGGACCACCAGCCAGCTCTAGAGCAATACTAACGGTCATGTGCAAGAAGCAACATTTTTATCTTAATACGCCATAAGGTGAAGCCCTTGTTTGGCCTCTACTTGGCTATTTCAAGGATTCAGGAGCTTGAGTTAGGTCTCTGCATTACTTACCTTACTAGATCTCAAGACCTTGCCAAAACTAAGGGGGATCGAATATAGCTAATGGATCACAGCTTTTTAATGCAGAGGATTTCAGTATAAATTCTATAGTTTTGAAATGCTAACAATCCTATCACTAGCCAGGTGACTATGGTCATGGTAATTTATACCACCAACTGCTAGCAACCAGGTCCTAGCGCCTAATGCCCCGGATAGCATTTTCAACACCTTGTTGATCCTTAAAATAAGTAATCCCATCCTTTAGGTGTAAAGTGTACTTGAATGGGGGACCTGACCTGCTGCAATCGCTACATCTCAATACCACAGGGATACTCATGATAGACAACATCACCTCCTTCAGGAAGTCTTGACTAGCATCAGATATCTGGTCAATCACTCCCATGCTTGCTTTCCTACATGTGCAAATCAGCAGCGTCTCCCTCGTGTAGTTGACGGCTGCCTCGACAACGTCCCCGGAGACCGAGATCGGCATTTCATCCAGAACCGGAAGCGAATCGAGAAAGTCTTCCAGCTCAGTATTCTTCTGATTCAGTCGGCGGATATAACAAAGCTTAGCGTGCCGTTCAAGGCCTTGGATGGCGTACTTGTCGGCCAAGACCAGTATCGACAGATGCGTCGAAAGGGAAACCTTGGACACATCTGTACTCGGATCTTCGTAGTACCCGACGTATAAGTAGTCGACCATCATCTCAACCAACTCCAGAGGGTACTCGCTCAAGTCATAGACTCCAGATATGGCTTCCTGCAAAACATCAGTACATTGCACTGTGGCTTGACTTCCACTATCTGACCTTGAAACCACTCGTACAAGCAGCATTGAAAATTTTGGACTGTGCACAGATTATGACTTTGTGCACGGGAATCTTTGTGTCTTTGCAGAGAAAAGCGAAGTCAGTGAACTGACCGGCTTTTTGGGCCCTGGGAGATGTTAGTTGAGCTTGGACTGAACGTGTAAACCACTGACTTCTGCATAAGCTTCCGTTCCCCAATATCCATGATGGGTTGATGGTGGGCTTGATGCATGAGGATGTTGAGCTTTTCTGCGTGGGCAGGAAGAACAGTGAAGGGTATTTATAGGAATGATGAATAAGTTTATTTCTTGGTAGACTTTCTTGAATCTGACTCTTTCTTAGGAAGTCTGATTATATGCTTTGTAGTTGACTGCTGCCTTTGAGGTTAAGCTTTAGGCTGCGAACACAGGTGATGAATGAGAACACGATATTTGATTCTGTGCTAAAATTTAACCATTCATTGGTGGGATCATTGGATCCCCATTCCCCGTAAGATGGCTCCGTCAAACTTTGACCAAAAGTTTAAAAAGTGCAAATTGAGAGAACTCTTTCTCAAATTTCGAACAGGCATCCTTCAAACTTCCATTCGCTGATTTGTGGTTAAGGGCATAAGCTTTGAATGTGATTAAAAGTGGCCAGCTCATCGGATCAACCATCGGGAAAGAGGATCATCTTATATATTGTTAAAGTTCGTCTCTTACAACAACCGTGCCCATAGAGACTTCGGACTATTCTCTCCTTATACAAACCAGTTACTAAAACCAACATCTTTTCCCAATTTCACATCGGCCTCAGTGTCACCGAACTCATATCCCAAAATCCGACTCCAAGAGTGGAGACCAAGTCCTGCGCTGGCGCCCCCCTTGCCACATTTCTGGCACCTACACTGTAGAACCTCAATCGGAACCGCACTTCTCGATCCGCAAGCCGAGTTCCTGCAGGTTCCCATGAATGGGAATCGCAGGGAGAGGCTGAGAAGATCTCTTGCAAACTCTGGGCAGTCGTAAAGGAATTCGTCAATGACATCTCCTAGTTCAGTTGCGGTCAGCGCCGTCCCCAGGTTTTCTCTAGCCATGACCAGAGCTCCGACCCGAAGGGTCTTGGAGGTCTCCTTGGGGAGTTCGTAAACTTGGGAGATGGATTTGGCGAAGTCATGATAGTTGCAGTCCTTATCCAAGCATTCCAAGTATTTCTTGCTTGCGAGTGTTTGCAACCCGCCAATGCCATACTTGTCCGCCAATGTGAACATCGAGGCATGAGTGAACAAGTCAGCGTCATCTGGAATCTCATAGGATCCAGTGTAAAGGTATTCGACCATTCTGTTTACGACATCGAGAGGATGGTCGTTCAGATCGTACGTCCCGGAAGAGGCTTCCTGGATCTTATTAGCGGGCATGAAGGTGTCCTTGACGGCGACCGGTACCTTGAACTTCCCAGTACATGCTCTCTGAAAGACTGTTGACTGGCCGCAGATGATGATCTTATGAACATTAATTGTTTGTCCTTGGCAAACGAAGGCGAAGTCAGTGAACTCGCCGCTTTCGCGCGCTCTGCACGGAGTTAGCAAGTCATGCATTGCAGGAGACATGGGTAGCATCGTACTTCTGCATACGGAGTCTGTCTTCGAGAGCAATCATATTCACATTGAAACAACGACACTTGTGTGGACAATAAAGACAGAATACGAGGGGGGACTGTCACAGCTGCGGCCAAGAAGGTGGTTTATATGCCCCCTCCCGTCCTCAATGTGTAAGTGAAAGAGGGGGTTGACGAATATGCAAGCCTCTATTAACATACAAATACTCCAATGTCAATTCCTCCAATGATTACCACTTTTCAGCGCCTTCCGTTGACATATTTGCGTCACCAAGCCTGGTAGGCCTCCCAGCCACCAACAAGCAATACACATGGACCCCTCAATGGTGGTTGAGTTGCCAATCCGCCGATATCGCACGTGGCCGATTTATCACATGTGTTAGCAGAGAGAGATTGCTCATCATCCTCTGGCTTAAAGACCATCCTCGGGTTCAAAGATCTGACTCAGCAGTCCCTGCATCGGACCACCGTGATTGCGCATAAAGTCCTGAAACACCTCCTGGTTCTTGAACAGCTCGGCCTGGCTCAGAATGTATTCGGCGACTATCTCCCGAAGTTTCAATGGTACAAACTTGCCAGAAGCCAGGACCAGTAGCTCCATGATTGAGTCCCAGGAACTGCCCCAAGGTATGATCACCTCGAGGGCGATGAAGTGCTTTCCCAAGGCAACGTCCATCAACGCGTCGATAGCGTATCGATCAGCGAAGATGCAGACCTTGGCATGGTGAAGCAGTGTGCTTTCACCAATGTTGCCTACATCAGATGGCCGAGAGATGGGGGAGTACTTGTCGACAAAGTCCTGCCACATGCCGTTGAGTCCGGGTGCATTGCGACTGTTGGGGCTTGAGAATGGTGGATAATGGCGGACGTAGTGTGCCCAAGACTTGCTCCAGTTGCTCAGCCCTTCATCAACAGGATCTGTCTCCTCCTGTTCGTCATCTTCTCGGATGGGGTTGGTGTAGTCGCCGGTGTAGGCAAACTCCCAGAAGCTCAGGAAGACGGCCTCCTCGAGATCGATCCATTCGACGCGTTGCTCCAGTGCCTCTTTGAAGGATCCGTTGACCAGGACGTTTAATACGGGTGACTGTTTTGCGACAAGTGCGGAATGAATAGTAAACTCGGCCTCGTCAGGGCCGACGACGAACATGAACGTCTTGGACTTCGCAATACTACAGCGCTGTCAGCTTAGTCTTTTTGGGTCAAGAGCTTGTAAAGCTTACTTCTTGGTTGATGTTTTATCCTCGGAGATGCCAGAAGCATTGCGCTTGGCGAGTTGGTCCATGATGTTCTTCTGGATGATTATGATGGGGTCGCTGTTGCAAGAAGAGAAGGATGAGTTAATATGTACAGTGCAGCCTGCAGTTGGGGAGGGGAATGTTTATAATATATCGACAATGATGGAGTGGTTTTCTGCGGTGTGACTCAAGGGGCCTGAGATAAAATACCAGTAGATAAAGTTTCACAAATGAAAGTTTGTTGACATTACCTCTTCTTACTGGCTTACCAGCCCTTCCCATAAAGCATAAAAGTTTAATGGCACAGGAGTATTTTCGGATTGGTATCTTTTCCAATTTGCAAGAACGATAGAAGTGATAACGCTCTTGTTCGTCGAAGTAAAAAGGTTGACATAAGATGAAGAACAACAAGGTAACAGGATATGCTCCACTGGCACAAATGAACATGCCCGGGCTGTTCTTATTTACCGAGCCAGTTGCCAAGCTCCAAACGGCTCTCCAAGTCACTGAGCAAACGGCTCAGCCTTGGGGCAATTGTTCCCTCACACAGGACCCGCCTGGTCTTGGTGCAGTGGTAACTGGCCCCTTTATCCTGCCACCGTACTGCCAGTGCCAGTCTACGCGTGCCCAAGTTAACACTGGCAGAACTCTTGCAACCTCAACAGCCTTCTAGCCTTCGCCTGCTCCCTTCTCTTCTCCTTCCCTACACTCTCCTTCACTCCCATCTCTCACTTCCAATCTTCCTCACGTCTCATCTCCCGTACCCAGCTCTTGGCTCACAAAGCTTTCACACTATTACTCCGAAACAAAACAAAAACATCATCATGTCAGACTCTTCGAAATCACTTCATCAACTGAGCGTAGAGTACCGTGGATTCCAAGCTTCCCCTCTCCACTGGACCTCCCACCATCTCGAGTTGGTGGGTTGCAGGTTTATCGAGGTCGAAGAAGCCAGCGGCACCCAAGGTCATCACCCCCAACAAGATGGGAGGTTGACATATTATGCCACCCGGTTAGCGACAACACCCGTCGAGAACATGAAATCGCATTACGTACGATCACTGCTTAGAGGAACAGGTGTTTTAGAATTTGTCCTGTATGTTACATGTACTTCGACATCCTTACTTTGACTAACCTTTGATAGCGTGGCCGCCGCCTTTCACTACTGTCGTCGACTCGTGCATGTACCTCACTGCAGTGCTTTTCGGATCTCTGGGCACATTGACGTACCACGTCCCGAGCCAATTGTCGGATATTATTCCTACAATGTGGATGAGGACCGTAAGGCGCGGTTCACTGCCCGGGCTGGCCCCCCGGGTACGGTGAACCTGCCTATGGAGCGGATCTACGAGCGCAGACGTGCAAAAGTCACGCCTCAGGATTGGACCCGAGATCCGTATCTGGTCTGTGTGATGTTGAGCCTGGCACAAGTCCAGGAGGCATCCGACACAACAGGGCAGCCACGGCTCTACCTCGTAAGATGACACCTCCTCCTTAATTGATAGCACTGTCACTAATACAACAACTTCCAGGTCCGCCTTCTCGTCACTCACAAGGATGAGCAGGAGAATGCCTATGTCTACAAGGCAGACTTCCCTTCTCAGTTCTTGGAGTGCCTAAAGTTCCCTTCCCGTCCTATGAATGACTTCGATTTCCCCGCCATTACGGTGGCCAAGGTGCCCTTTGAGCCATATGAGACCTTTGGTGGTCGGGCTGCCGAGGCCCTTGTCGGCGCCCAGTACTTTCCTTCGACAGCCTTTCCTTCGACAACCTAGAAATTCCATTATTGAATTACCTGGACATGTACCCAAACTTCCAAAGTAGGTCCATCGATTTAAGCGGCATTGTGTCCTCATGAAAACAGTAAGCCTATCATGATATATCTGTGTTACATCTGGCTCGCTCATTAACAGGACTATTAGTGCTTCGGCCACTGGAGGAGGGAGAGTTTGGAAGACTAGGGAGGAAAGCAGTCTACGCAGCGTATGCGTTTGAGGTGGGACTTTCGATCGCAGCGAGATGGGATTTTGGCCAGTTGCAGAAGAGACACTCACCAGCCCTACATATTCTTGTGGCCATCTGAGTTTCTTCTACCATCAGTAATAGTGATTTGATTCGGGTTTGTTTCGGAAACTACGCCTTTTATCCAGCGGTGGACATTCAGTCTCAACCTCTTTAGATAGATGAGCTCAGTCTAGACCTGCAGCAGGAAGACATACTTCTCTGTCTGACATATCAAATCACAACGCAGCTCTTTACATGCCCTGCCCTTGGTCTCTGTTCTCACTCAATACCTTTCTAGTCAAAACCTATCAGGAAGTGATACCAACCTCTAGGTTAATGGGTTATTTATCTTATTGAGTCGTATTGAGCAAAATGGGAAGTTCTAAACAATGTTAACTTGATCTTGGTCCTGTCACCGTGATACAGAGAATTTCCGTCAACAATTCTCTTCTGATAGCTTTCTTCATCTTTTGGAGCTTTTTTCCTTACTCTTCTGGGGTCCCATCATGTTCCAGAACACTAGGCCGTTGTTCCCCTATTGTTCAAGTTGTGACACGGAATCATCCTGTAGTTCAGACAGAATTGCAGCACAAGGCCATATTTCTTTGTTGTAAGAGACAGTTCAATACAAATCATTCTGAACAGGCATAAAGACGATAGAGGTGAATTCTCGAACAACAGCTCGGCCAACTCAGTAGTCTCGGACCTTTAAATACAATACTGGCGCGTACTGATGTCGTCCATATCGTTTTATCGCGCATCAACGATTCAACCGCAACGCCAAGCTTCAGGTCCCTTTAGTCGACAAGAAATATAACTACGTCTGTTAATAACCATCATCATGGATCCCGACTGGAAAGAAGTCAAGCAACGATCGATGCGAGGTCGTCTACAAAGCCTCAGACTTCGTCTTATGGATATTGCGAACAACTTGGACAATCTTACGACAGAACAGCTTGACATTCATTGCGGTGCCATCATGGAAGACCTTAGCAGCTTATCCTATGATTGCATCGTGGAAAGCAGGGATCGACTTGACGAATTCCAGTTCTACTGGCGAATTAGCGAAATCGAGGTATTGATCAAGTTTTGTCTTGACGAGGAACTCGAAAAGACTAAACGGACGGAGAATCAAACGCCTAAGATGACGAGAGAAAAGCGAAAGGAGATGCTGAAGGATCTCAAGTTTGACATCCCTTTCACTGAAATGTGCTTCATCCCTTTCGATGCGTATGACTTCTTCATGAGTCTCGGAGAGGCGTTTAGGGACCTCGTTGTCGATGAACTGAGGCATCGTGCTCACGGCGATGATACGCTTGACCTTCAGTTTATCAAGAAAGAGCCAGGTATCGAGGAAGAAGTGTCTATCAAGGAGGAGGAGCCTATCAAGGAAGAAGGTGTCGGCGAACTACCTCGTTCCAAACTACATCTACCTGGAGAGTTTATCCCTAACGATGTACTCAAGCAGAGGTTCAGGGATCTGGCGGTCAACTTTGATGATCCCAGCAGTCGCTGGGCAAAGCAACAAATCGATGCCTACCAGAGCTACCTCAAGTTGCCAGTCACAGACAAAGTGGCATCGGGTGCCGTGGAGGAATACGACGATTGTGTATCAATTAAGATGCCGTGTCCGCCAGGGATGAGCTGTCTTCTCCTCACCCGTTCAGGAGACTCGTGGTTCCCGCATCCAGTTGACCCCTCTGCTAAGAAGTCTGGTTCTTGGGGTAATGTTCCTAACCTGGAGGTACTTACCATGACTCGCGAACAGCTGCGAGAAGATCATGAGTTTGGGGGCGATGCTTTCAAGAAGGAGATACCTGAAGTTGAGCCTCGTCTTGAGAAGTTGGACATTGAGTTTGATAAGGTTGTTACTTCTCAGTATGGGATTGTCGTTGCTTGGAGGTATGTGGGGGGCGATGAGTGGTTTGATCGTTATGGCCATGTTGTTCCTGAGCTTGTCGTTGATCAGTCAACAATACACCATGATCGACGATGGAGTGAGGCTAGGAAAGAAGATGTTCTTTCAGATTCGGACTGACCTCAGTACTTTAGGGCTGCCGGGCCGTTGGCTGGGAACAAGGCGTACAGTTTCATGGGGATAGAGTCTGGTGAGTAGATTCTGGAGTATGTTTTCGAATTGAACCTTGGCCTTTTATTGGAGAATTGAGAAATCTGTTGTTGATTGTATTGCTGAATAACATTTACGTGAATGTCAAGTCGATGCCGAGGTGTGCATTTTAGCGACTAACAAAATCAGGTCATGATCCTCCCCCAAGACATTCTCATGAAACCTCCCGCGGGCCAATTCCCATTCCCGCTCAAAGGGCCTCCACCAAGTGGACCGCATCCGCTTCTCCCCGGTCCCTAGCGCCCAGAACCCTTGAAACCACAAACTGATGATACGGTAGCACGCACCATGCGATGCAAGCTGGGGCCAAGCCAAGCAAAGAGGGGTGAACGGCTTCATTTTTTCTCTTCCCCCTCTTCAACTCCGTTCTTGTCAAGACATACAATATGAGCGCTGCAGCTGAAGTTACGCAGGGTGAGAATGTCGCCTCACAGGACATGCTCGCCCCGACGCACTGGGAGGTATGATACATGAGTATTGCATGGATGAGGACTTGCTAATTGACTCAATTAGAACACTGAAGCTACGGACAACTCAGATGCCGACTCTGCGATAGGCGACGACGCTGCTAGTTCTACCGCCAGTATCAACTCTAGCATTCTCGAGTACCGAACCATTAATGGGCGGACATACCACGCTGAGCGAGGCGATGCTCAGTACTGGGCATCTAACGACAACCAGGCCTCTGAGGCTCTAGACATCATCCACCATACTTCCACGTTGATCCTGGACGGCAAACTCTTCCTCGCTCCCGTCAAAGAACCCAGCAAAGTCCTCGACATTGGAACCGGCACTGGCATTTGGGCCATGGACTTTGGCGATGAGTTCCCCGAGGCAGAGGTCATCGGCACAGACATCTCGCCCATCCAGCCAACGTGAGTCCAGCTCTAACTCCCTCCGCACGATCTAACAACCTCTAGCTGGGTTCCCCCAAACGTCAAGTTCGAGATCGAAGACTTCACCCTCGACTGGACGTTCCCTCCCAACTCCGCCGACTTCGTCCACCTTCGCTTCCTCTACGGCAGCGTGCCCGACTGGTACGCGTTGTACGAGCGCGCGTACCAAGTGACCAAACCCGGCGGGTGGATCGAATCCCACGAAGGTGACCCCATGGGCCGCAGCGACGATGACAGTCTTAAACCGGGCAGCGCAATTGCAGAATGGGGCAAGTTCTTCCACGAAGGCGGCAAGAAGCTCGGTCGCGTGTTCACTCCCCTTCCCGATAATCTGCAGGAGAAGGGTCTCAAGGCCGCTGGCTTCGTGGACATCCAGTCCAAGACGATCAAGGTTTCTGTTGGCGATTGGCCGCAGGATGAGCGACTCAAGGAGATTGGAAGGTTCACAACGATGAGCATTCTATCCGATGTGGAGGGACACATCTCGTTCATGGCTACGCTTCTTGAGGGGTGGACTCAGGAACAGGTCCATCTGTACTGTACCCAGCTGAGGAGGGAGTTGAAGTCCAAGAAGCCGGCGCACGCCTACTACCTGCAACGTATTGTCTGGGGACGCAAGCCAGCTGAGGGTGAGACTACAGCAACAGAGTAGATCAATGGTGTTCATTAGACGTAAATAGCGTAGCAATACTTTTCCCCGGTCCAGCCGTTCATGTATCCAATTTGTTTGTACCCGGCCTTGCGCTCATTCAGATCTTGACTTCTTCCGTCGGTTCGACATCGTACTCGATCTCGGTTCGGATCACGTATTTGGCTCCCTTTCGCACGCCGGTACCTTCATGCAATGTCGCGTTGATCTCGCCATGTGGGAAGATAGCCGCGCCGCCCATGACTGGGCGAACAGGGTATGCATTTAGGATTCCTTCCCGTGCAGCTGGGAGGAAGTATGTGGTTTCGCCACCCTCGAAATCTTGGTTGAGGTAGATCAAGAATGTGAAGAGCGAGCTCTGCTTCTTCTCGGCCGGCGAGTCGTCGTATACATATTCGTCGTCCTTCGTAATGCCGCTCGGAGGCCACGCGCCGTCGATGTGTGCTCTATACTCTGCTCCTGGGACACTGTAGGATGTTAATGGTGGGATTGGCCTTCCAAGACCTGGGCACTTACTATCGATACACTCTGAAGCGGCGGTTGATACCACGAGCCAGGCGACCGTTCATTGACACCGGCACGAATGGTTGAATGCGCGACCATAGCGTGTCGTGGAACGTCTTGTCGACAACCCAGTAAAAGTTGTGCGCCAGAATACTGATGTCCCCGTCTTCTCGAAGCGGCGCATCGGGCACGAAATTAACGTATTCACCCGCAGCAATGATAGCCTTGCACTCTTCGGGGTATAGAACATTGGTGGCGACACTGAGGCCCTGCACGACAGGATGGGGTCGATGTGTTGTAGGCGGGGGCGTTGTCGACAGAGGAACGGCCTCGGGTGTTGAAGCGTAAAGGATGGCATCGTGATGGTTCGGCGGCTTGCGCTCGGCGCCGGGTGTTGTCTCGATGATGCGAATGTTCTTCTTGAGAGACTCGGGGGCAGAAGCTACGAGACTTCCATCGAGGACCGAGGCGTAGACTTGCTCGGTTGGAGTGTCGGGACGAAGATCCCAGATCTCCTGAAGAGCAATTGACGAAGGCTGTATAATCGCATTGGGGTTTCGGTCCTCGTGGCCACAAACTCGAAGCACCGCATCAATGACCTTGATGAGTGTCTCTTCCCTCTCAGATCGCTTGACAAGGCCTTGCTGATCGGGAATTGTCGACAGACCACTGATGACATCAAGATCTCGAACCCATCGACACAGAGCACCGAGCTTAGGCTGTTCACCGCGAATCTTCATCTCAGCGAGAAGAATTCGAGCTTCGGTGTATTTCCGATCGGCAAGAGCAGCAGTGACCTGCGCCGTGAGGTTCGCGCCAGCAGCATTGTTGACACCAGTCGTGCAAGCTTGTCTGAAGTCGTAAACAGCAACTCTCAGGTCCTTGCACAGCTTTGACTTGATCAAGCCGGGGTATTGAGCGAGCGAATTGAGTGTGTCGATGGTGATCTCGAGCTCTTCTTCGGATACAACGGTATGGAGGTTCTTGGGCTCGAAGTGCGTGGTCGTGCCATCGGGAGGAGGCGTCGGGATCGAGGGTGAAGTGGTCTTTGCGATCTTTCGAGGATTGTCGGATTGAGCTTGAGCCTGCGCTTGTTTGCGCTTCTTGGACTTTGTCTTGGCCATGATGGTTCGATAATGGTTAACAAAGAGTTGGTGGGGATGGAAATTTACGTGGGGGAATTGACGACGGGAAGGGACCAATTGGAGTGGCAAAAACGGTCTGGAACGGCAGAACCATAAAATGCGGGGCTCGAGTCGCCCATCACGATACAGGGTAAGCCATGAGCATTTGACAGATTAGTAGAGGCAAAACTCAAGATCTTGAAAGACTTGGGTAAATTAGTATAAGTGTAGGACACGTCTATTAAGTTTAGGTTATCTTTTGCTGAGTTTAGTCTTGACCCTAATGAATAATAATTTTTAGGTAAAATGCCCTAAGCTTAAGGACGTCTTTACGCAGTTCATATTGGTATTTCTAGTTAAAGTCTCAGATTTCCTTGCTCACTGAGGGAACGGCTTGAATTTTTGTGCGGACTGGTTGGAAAGTTGGGATGCCTTTATTGACTAGGTAGCTCAGCATTCTGCATTGCTTTCATACTTGATCTATCGACTGTCAAGTGAAACGCGCTATCTACTCATAACGTACTTCCGATTCCACTTTCTCAAAGTCCAAGTCCAAGAGCTTGATATACTCTACTCGGTCCACGTGCTTATCGCTGCAACGTTCGTTGCTGCCAGGATAGGTCCATCCGCGGCTACCACCAAAACTCCCAACGCAGTATCCAACATCATCATCATACTCCAGGTCTTAAACCCTTCCACAAGATGTGATAGCTCTTTCAGAGCCCTTTTTATCCTCTTCGGAGAGGTCGTTGCAGATGGCTGTCCAACTGACCTCATTACGAGGTGCGTACTCGAAACGGGCGAGCACATTGATTTCCTGGAAGATTACGAAATCCGACCACATGTTGAGATCGTCGCTCCAACTGTCGGGATTGTTCTGTTCGTATAGATGACCATACTTTTGGGAGGGAAGGAATTTACCGAGAGCTTCAATAAATGCATAGATGGCATCGCTGCACCACTCGTGACGGATATCATTGTACTTCCCGTCGCAGTCATGATAGATAGGACCTAGACCGCGAGTCTTATGCACCAAAAGTGTGGCCTTATCTATTAGATAGAGGTGGGGTGTGTTGACGCATCCGGATGTTACTCCCTCCATCCAAGTGGCCACCAGACCGCGAGCAGAGTTCTCGGCTTTGAGCTCTTCCAGGGTCGCAGGAAGGTCGACAATCCAGCTAGAATCACACTCAATAGCGAGGTTGGGAACCGGAACCAATGAAGAGGAGAGGGGATCGAAGAGATCGAAGAATGGGAGTCTGGTCTTGCAGTCCTCGAAGTGCTGAGGCAAGGACTTCCAGTCTGTTGTCCGGATGCAGAGCATGTCTCGTCGAGGGAAAACCATGTAGCCCTGCCCTTCATCGGCGTTTCGACTGGTGAGAATGGCTGGGCGGCCGAGTTGGGCCCGACGGTCACCGGGAAGCCGAAGCCACATGGAATTTATCTTTTCTGTAATGACTTCGCGAGACAGTTTGCAAGCCCCCCAGAGGCCGCCGTCCCACATGTAGGCTGAGCGATTGCTATTGGAGGCTTTCTCATCGCCGTCAGGACCTTGTTTATGGTCGAGGGCTCGTAGAGCAAGTCGATCTTTGCCCCCGGACTTGACTGTGTCAACGTCGACGTAGTGCAACCCAGCCTGCTTGTAAGAATCATAGCCGGGGATATCAAAAAGAGAACATGCTTCCTTCCATATCTGGAGCTGAATCTCAATGGGGAGGCGTGGGAATCTGTGAAAGGTTGAAGACATCTTGTGACTTGTGATGAAGGGTCGGGGTGAAGGTCTTGGAAGGTTGTGATGAAGGCTTGTGAAATTTTGTGACGCAGGGAGTGTAGAAGGGAAGTAAAGGTTGAAGGGTGAGGAGGAGAGGAGGAAGAAAAGAAAAGGATATGATGTGGGTTATTGGCGTTAAAAGTAAGGGCATGGGACTGTTTACATTTGGCAGTGGCAGACCAGTGAGTATAACAGTGACACAAGGGCTGTCTTCCTGAGGGGAGATGATACAATCAAACACCAGAACTGTTGACAGGTTCAATTCACCTCAAGGACTTAGTATTGTAGCTTCACGGGCAGTGTCTGTGGAGAGCCATTGACTCTTTCCAGCACCGCCAACAGAGTCAGCCACTGTCAACTCAAGATATCAAATGCTTTCCCCTCAAGTCATACTTTTAGTGATGCAATGTTGGTAGATTCATATAGCGTTCTGAACTGAAGACGGAATGTCCAGTGAATGTTCATGACAGTTTCAGTCAGTTCATTGAGCTTTGCTCAGGTTTTGTTATTTTCTGAACATCCCATCGGGATAATGTGAGGCATGAATCATCCAGAAACCCTTATTTTACTCACATTGACCCATCTTATGTGTTTTGGCACAATGATACACCCATATTCTCCCTACTTGTTCATTGAATGTCATGCGTAACTCAAACACTGACATCGCCTACCTATTGTTCCTCATATCAGTCACCTCGCCACTCAGCAAATACTGGCCGCTGCCGCAGTTACCACGGGCCCTGCCACTGCCAGAGTAAATCTCATCACGTGGTACTGTTCCTCAAGTAAAGGCCTTCGCTCCCCGAGACCCTCCTCTTCGCCCTTCATCACTCCTCAAACTTCCAACTTCTGACTTTCGACATTCTCCGTCCAACACATTTCCATTTTGCCATACTCTCTGAATTGTTCTGTCAAGATTTATCAAGTGCAACGGTAAGAAGCATACTGAACGATTATGACATTCATATCATAAGTCTAACGGAACACAGCTATCATGACGCAACCCATGGTCGTCGAACATCCCGATCACGGCGGTGGGCTCAAGCAAACAGAGAAGATGCCAGCCCTTTCGGCCAATGAAGTTTCTCTGGTGGTTTTCCACCTATTCCCGAACCTCCCAACAGAACTTCGTCTCAAGATCTGGAAGGCGGCGTGTTTCCCTTACGCAAAGAACCAACGTGGCTTACACTACATCGATCTGGCAAGCATTGGGGATGACTTACGCTCTTGGATAGGGCTGCCGACGAAGGCGCCCATGGAGATGAAGGCACTTCATCCCGACTTCCCGACCTCGAACAGTGGGCAGCAGGTTGTAGGACGTGCAAACAGATCCACATACATGTGGGATGCTGGTCTCTGGAAGGCATGCAAAGAGTCAAGAGAGGTTATTTCCACGCACTTCCAAATGAACATTTGGCGTGGTACTCAGGGTAAAGACATTGATGCCCTCAAAGTGGATGAGTGCCTCAGCAAGGCTTGCCAACCGTACCCTTCGCAGCTGTACACTGAGGAATCGACCTCTGAAGACGACGAGGAACTGTATAAGAAGCGACCAGGTGATCAAGATTCAGTTCTTGAGCCTGAGCCCTTTCTCCCTACATGTCTTCTTTCTCACAACCAAAAGCATGCAGAACCATTTATGGTTATGCCCACCCGAGACCTATTTTGCATCCAGAACCCCGGGAAACACCTGTTACCACTCGTTCTCAATGACGCTTGTCTGCAAGTTTCGTGTCCAGGTGGCAAGACAATCGTTCTCCGACACTCCTTCAACCTTGCCTTGGAGTTTGATACCACCTGGTTCGATAATTTCCCTGGCAGCTGGGCCGAACTCATCAAGGAAAAGTCACCTCGAGGCGTTTTTGCGAACTGGGTTCAAAGCTGCAATTGGAGCAAGGGCAATGCCCCGTGTATCTATCTGCTCAACAAGGCTGCTCGTTGGGGGCCAGGTTGGTTTGTGAACAAGGATGCAGTCTTTCATGATTGCGACGATGCGTATGTGGAGGTTCAAAATCATTACTTGGACGACTTCCCGGTTGAGCTGGCAGAGGCCTCAGCCATGCTGGGATTTCTCTGGCTTGTTTAGAAGCTCTGGACCGTTGCTTTTTGTGACTGCACCCACGACGAAATATGCTTGATGTGTAACCACGGTCTGGGTCTTAATTTGACTAAATATGTCAAAGTTCTCGTTCGTCACGAAGAGGAGCATGGTCGATATCAAACCGAGTATCGAGTTGATGAGTTTGACAACGGCAGCTACCGTGAAATCGAACAGGAAAGCGAAGACGGCAAGGAAGCCCAAGAGACAACTGAACTTTAGAAACAACGAAGCTGGTGGGGAGCAGGGGCAGGTTTTTGGAACTTTGAGGATTTCGAGTGGTTACTCCCTGATCATGACCAACGAACCACGTCTATAAGGACAGGGACGTAAGAACCTGCTAGGTAAGAGGCATTGCGATGGGGAATGTGCAAGAGTAGCGAGCATTGAAGTCTGAAATTGATGGGTCTCAGTTTGTACTTAATACCTAGTCCGATAAGAAAGAAAGTCTGATCTTCTTGAAGCAAGAGATGCTATTCATCATGCACGCATCACCAACCTGAGTGTCGTCAGTGATGTGAACTGTGTAGTTGACTGCCACCCACAAGCTTAAGCTTCAAGATCACATGAGGCCGCAGGTTTGTTGAAGATCTCATGATAGTCATTAATAAACAAGGCTACGTATTACGTCTGAGCCACCGGGACGCGAGTGTCCCAACCATTCACTGTTTCTAGTAAAATACCAAGCATCTAACCTCAATGCTCTGCCGTCCCTTCGCATCCGCCGGCGTAGCAGGGTCAACGAACGCAGTGTGAGGTGTATATCCCGCCAACCCATGCTGACCACCCTCATGAACCTCACTCTTCGAATCAAAGCACTTGATCAACATGACCTCCTCAGGCGTCATATCCTTCGCGTAGTAAAACTTGTGCCCGTCATTCGGCGCAACAGAATACGTCTCGCCCTTGATCTGATACCCCTCCGTTGAGCGAAGCGTCGATGCATCAGGGAGGACTTCCTTTCCACGATCATCATCGTCGTTGTCCTCGCGCTTGGGGTACAGAAGATCAACTTTGATCATGTCTTCTGGCTTTGTGGTGCGATAGTCCACGACTGCGAGGGGGAAGTCTGTTGCCGGATGGCCAATCGGTCGCCAAACGTTAATGATTTGGTATCGACCCTTGAGAAGCTCTTCTGTCTCTGAAGGATCGGTGTGTCGCCTCACGCGAGCTTCAGCAGCGCCGGGGGTTTGATCAACATGGACTTGCTGCACAGGCTGTCTGGGACTCGACTTTTCCCTCCTACGGATAGTATGATCAAAGATAACAACCTTCTTGATCTCAGGAATCCTCTCTTTGAGCAGCGCTTCAACTTCGCCGTAGTAGCCATTCCTCACAGCCGCATCGTCAGTGAACTCTGTTTCCTTGGCGGGAGACTTGAAGACATCGAAGCCAGAAAGATCTACACCAAAGGCGGTAGTGCTAGCGGCGTTGCGAATGTCCACGACGTCGCGCTTGTGCTGGCTGCGCTCAAAAGAAGTCTGGTCAACGTCGACTTTAGCCCAGGGCTTGACTCTGTTTCCGTTGTCGTCGAGACTCGATGTCGGATCGATGTAGTTGAAGAGTCCGGTTGTCATTTTGGTGGTTGTGAAGTGGAAAGGTCTGAGTTGAGCGGGGTTGAGGAGCTGTTTGAGAATGGGTCTTGTTCTGAGAAGTCGTGACATGCAGGTTTAAGTTGAAGATGGGGAAATCGAATTGAACTAAGGCCGTTTCTTATATCCAATTATCGGTAGTTCAATGCGGAATCTTGCGTAAAAAGTCCGTCTTTTATTTGCGAGTATCCCACTGTCATTTATTTGTCATCGTCATGAAATTTGTAAGCTCGGTTGTGCCGATGACGTTTGCGGGGCTGTCAAGCGTGCTGTAACACTAACAGATCACGTCACTTTACAGTGGCGATAGTGTAGAATCAGTTACTGTCTTAACTGAGTCAGATTATCAATCTGCCGAGCGCAACGACGTTATTGGAGGCGTCGTCCCCAGCCGTTGGCATTTTTTATCTGTAACGTTTGCACATTTGACTAATTTCCATTCTTTCAGTCAATGTAAAATTCCATCTCACGTTAGCATTCGACAAGATTCGACGGCGTATGGACACGCCTGACAAGCAGCTACCAGGCACGGTTGAAAGGCGCAGATGACGACCATTGGACTGCTTTACAGTTTGGTTCAACGTCACTGACCGGGTTACATCTGAACGTCTGGTTCCTCACACTGGGAATTTTAAGATGTCATGCTGTTCATATTGCACTGTCATTGCATTCTATTGAAGATATGGCACTGATCATCAAGTCTACCGTCTAGTACGCTTCGCTAAATCATCTAAAAGCAGTTACAAGTACAAGCCAAAGAAACCATTCCGAATCCAAAGTCCATCAGTAAACCTTGTTCTCCTGCGGCTCCGCCCAAGCAATCTTGCCAACATGTCTCTCCGGTCCCTTGATGAAAGTCAACTTCGGCGACTGCGCCATCTTGGGTGCACCCAGTCCAAACAGCATGTTCTGAATGGCTGTGATGCCAATGATGTGCTTGTCGATGAACTTGAAAACACCAGTCTGCCAAGTAGCGCTGGAAGTAGCCTGGCCCGAGCCTCGGCAAGCTTCAACAACGGGATCCATACGTGAAGCTTGATACGACTGGAAGGCGGTGGCGAGTTGAGCATGAGTTGGGTTGGGGGACTTTTGACGAAGAGCGTAGAGTTGGTTGACAAGGGCGACCACGTCGATGAGACCATTGTTGCAACCTGAGCCTGTGCTGGGGGTGAATTTGTGAGCTGAGTCACCTGCGAGAACGACACGACCGGCCCAGCTCCAGTGGTTGACGACACCTTCTTCGAGACTCACGAGGCCGGACTGAGTACGAGCGTTGAAGGCATCTTTGAGGGTGAGTCTGCCGCCAGGCGCAAGGGGGATGTGTCCCCATCGCTCAACAAGATCGACCTGATCCTGCTCAGTGTACCGCACCCTATCGCGAGTAGGCGCATCCAACTTCTCATAAAGACCCATGACGGAAGAATCCTCACCAGCAAAGAGCTGTGTAGCCGCACCAGGACCGTGAGTCTCACAAGTAGTGCCAGGCTCGATGCCCGCGAACTTGGTAGGCATGCGCAGCCAGAGAGCTCGGAATGTCGTCAAGAAGGGCTTCTCGTCGTTGACATAATCTGAGCCAGCGTCTTGGGCGAGAGAACGCATCTTGTTGCGGACAAAACTGTGAGCACCATCTGCTCCGATGACGATGGATCCCTCGTAGGATGTTCCATCGTCGCAGGAGACCTGAACGCCGGTTTCGCTGGGGATGATGTCGGCGACTCTCTTGTCGGTGAGGATCTGGCTCTTTTGTAGAGGAGTGAAAGAGTCGTATAGCACTTTGGTGAGGTCGTGGCGGCTGACTACACGAGGGAAAGTTCCAAGTCTGGGCTGGTTAGTTGAAGGAATCTCAGGAGAGGGGGTGAAACTCACAGTTTGTTGAACAGGATGAACCAGTACGCGTCTCCGATATCGCGGCCCTGGTGATCTTGGCGCTTTATCAGACCAAGAGGGCAGCTGACTTGCTCGAGAGGAGCAGCAAGGCCAAGTTGGTCAAGAGCGCGAAGACCCATGGGGTTGAGAACGAGATTGGAGCCAGCGTCAATGACTGCGCTTGAGCGACGTTCAAGAAGAATGAAGTCGATATTGGCGCGGGAGAGAGCATGAGCGGCTGTGAGGCCAACAGGGCCGCCTCCGACGATGATTGCTCTGAAGCGCTGAGTAGGCATGTTTTGGTTCTTGGGTTGCTGGGTAGGTAAGGGGTTGGCGTCGCTGAAGGATAAGAGTGTTTATGTGTATAGAATGTTGGTTGATTGAATGCTTGAGTAGTGATGGAGAAGATGTTCTTGAAGCGAGTGAACACAGATATATATATTATTGTGCCACTGCTCAATCCCGCATCTCGCATTGTTTTGAGGCTGCAGTCTTAGCTAGTGCCCGTGTCTTCGCACTCGGATCCATGCGAGTGGGTTCCCAAAAGGGGATTAGCGCATCACCGACGAAAGCTTGACTTTGGGATCAACCAAGATCGAATGCGATACGATGCGATAAAAACGGGATTGACTCAGCCTCGGAAGCCGTTTCGTCTCCGAAATAATCATAAAATTAGAATAGTTATTGGTAAACTGTACGATTCCTCCAATATTTCATGAGACGCCAGTCCATCTCCTCTCTCAGTTCGGGGATTGCCTAGGTACCCCACTGCTTCTGCACAATAACACTGGCAATGCGAACATTAGCGATGCATCTGATCACCAACGCAATGACAATACCGAGAAAAAGGATAATAGCACTCGGAGGAATGAAGGTATTACGCACTCGATTATCGCACTCGCAAAACGACACGTACGTTCAGGGGATTTTGTCCTAGCGCCGATTGATTCCGCAGCCATCAACGGCTAGCGATCGAGAAAAATGTGATTGGCTCGCATTTCGAGGGCCACTTCGCATTCGGGAGACCATCAGCCCTATGACGACACCATTCAGCAGGGCTTAGGGGGAGCATTGCAGGGTAAGCGGGAAGTCAAACTCGCATGCGGGAGAACTACGCATCATATGTTACCCCGAGCAAGCAAGCCATTATTCCCGCGGGCATTTGTCATTGAGGTGAACGAGATAGAACGCGATGTTGTTGCAGGGGCTCATCTTATGGCACTGGGGCAAACCAGTTGCCGCTACCCGAGTCTGAACCACGACACAGCATGAACAGCCAGACTCCCTGAACAACATAACAAGATATCCCCGTCGACAAGTTGGCACGCGACTGGTGGTTCGTCTGATAAATGCTCTTGATGTGAAATGAATTCTATCGTGAGGCCATAGGCCGTGTCTATAAAGTCATAATCTATCAATTTCCCTCCGTAAACATGCATACGCCCATGAGACCGCAGTTCTATAGCTCCCCTGTTCATTGCTTCCCCTTCCTCTGATACCACTTGGTTTTGAGGAAGTAGATAATGCTGATACCCAGTCCCAGCCCGGCGAAGCCAACAGCCATGTAAAAAGCAGAACGATAACCAATCAACAGCTCGTGCTTCGACTCTCCACCATTTGTAACGTTGACCTCCACCGTAGCAGCGAATCCAAGACCCAGACTGATACTGTAGTTCACAATCGTGCTGACCAAGCTTGCTGCAATACCTTGGTGCTCTCGCTTCACAGAGTTGGAGAGGATCAGAGTCGCGGCGGGGAACGACATGTCCATACCGAAGGTCATGATGACAAGGCCGAAGAAAGACTGGTACCAGTAAGACTGCTCCACAGGCGCAGTCATCATCAAAATAGTACCAGTCGTGAATGCTGTGAGCGCGAGGAGCATGACTAAAGCAGGGTGCGAGACATGCAGAAGCCACGCAGTGATCAGTGAGGCGCAGGCCCCAGAGATAGCAACCGGGCTCATCCAAGCACTCGTAAGAAGAGGTGAGGCGCCGCGGAGCATCTGGAAGAACTGCCAAGTGTAGTACACCCAAATACCAAAGGTAGCCCAGCCGCAGACGATGCAACCGAGAATGTAGGCGACGTCGCTAGTTAGAGCGTCAAAAGGAATGAGAGGATGCGATGCGACGCGTAATTCGACGTAGAAGAAGACAGGAACAAGTAGCACTCCAACAATGAGAAGGACAAAAACCCAAGGCTTGTCCCAGCCGTCGATGGGGGCTTGGTTCCAGGCAAAGTTGAAGAGGACCAGGGCAGTGATACCAGTGAACGCGCCGAGAAGATCGAGCTGACCAAGGATGTCTCCCCAGCTCATATCCGCAGACGAAAGTTTGTGAGGAGGATCAGGGATGATAAAGTACGCCATTAGCGCAATGAACGCCAGCCCAAGCGCGAAAGAATAGTAAGTCCAAGGCCACCAAGAAGGATCCCCATGAACAAAAAGCCCAGCAAACAACGCGCCAAAAACACATCCACCAGGTGCACAAGCTCCAAACAGCGCAAACGCAACAGCCTTTCGCCCACCAGGCTTGTACGAAGCGCCCAAGATAGCCAGACCATTCGGCATCACCAGCGCAGGCCCAATACCCTGAAAAACCCGCGCAAAGATGAATAGAACATGATTAGAGTAGCTCGCCAGTCCGCAGATCATAGACCAAACAGCGAACCAGACAAAACCAATGAGGAAGAGGCGCTTGTAGCCAAAGATGTCGCCGAGGCGGCCGGAGAAGAGGATGAATGTTCCGACGGTGAGGGAGAATCCGGCGATTAGCCAGCTGAGCTCCGCGGGATTAGTGAGGTTGAATGAGTCGCCGATTATGTGGATGATGTTGAGGCAGTTTCCCAGCGCGGCTTGCGTCATGAACTGCGCCATACAAATGATGGCCACGAAGAGGATCTCATGTGGGAGCGAGAACGTCTCGGCTATTGAGATGTTGGACTTTGTTCTTGAGATGGCTTCCTCGTCGGGCCCTGTGAGCGTGTTGTTATCCGACGGCGCGTCCCTCTCGGGATCAGGCATAAAGCCTTGCTCTACCCAAATTAGCCTCCACCCCAACACAAGCAGCGCAGTAACTCACCTTTCTCTGTTTCCATCATCATTTTGGATAATGCTCAGAGTCTGAACTGTCCAGAACATCGTTATCAAGGGATGACGAGCGTTGTATATAAAAAGCGGCGAGCAAGTCCGAAAGATTGTGTATATCCGAAGATCCGTACTTCCGAGCCAATGAAGCTGCAACCATCGCTGTCAGATCTCCACTACAGCATTTTCACCATTATTAATGCAGATTCCAGATCCGAGATGGGAGATTATCGCGATTAGCGTCGGAAATGTGACATTTTGTATATCCGATTTTGGCAAAGCTGAGGAATCGGGTTTTTGAGTTTTAGTTTATCGGTGGAGATGCTACGTCAGGCGGGATGGTAACTGACCAATGCTACGGTGATGCAGGTGATGGACAGGGATGAATACGACTGCAATGATGGTGATCGTGAACATTGTTACTAATGGACTGTGATGGATAGTGTTTCAAGCGGGAATGAATTACTCCGCTCTTATCAGATGCTGGTGTTTTACACCATCAGCTGCGGATGTTCTCGGTCTCCGAGGGACGGACTTGACATAAGGCTCGGTAGAAACAACAGGCTACCTACATGTGATCAACGCTCATTGTCGCTGTCAATTGAGAGAACAGAATGGAACGGATAGTTGTCCCTTTCTGCCGGTCTGAGTTGTCAGGCAGAACCACCAGTCGTTGATAGTCGAGAGCCGCCAGACCGGTGAGTAACGCGGCAGATCAAACTCCCAAGTCCTATTGGTTGTAGAGAGGGCGTTACCTGTGATCTTGAGAAAGGAGGTACATTTTGCTTGATTTAAAGTTTAAAGCGCCGCAAGTAATTCGCGGCGTGGAGGTTTGTCACGTTGTGGCATAAACTCATTTCACCTACAACACTCAACGCATCACCATTTCGCTGTAAATGGGTAAAAGGCTGTTTTAGACTTTTGGCATTGAGTCACTAGCCATGCCTCTCACCAAAATCCAAGGTTTTTCATGAACTCTAAAGGGGGTGCTTTTCACTTATGTTTCGCTCACCTTCTTGAAGAATCTTCTGTAGACTCGAGACTCATCTCTTGTCAAGCCAACCATTATCCTATCAGACGAAACTACCAACTCTCCAAAGCTTGAACACCTTACCAACATGGCCTACTTTTTTCATCAATTCCCAAGACTGCCCTTTGAGCTTCGGATGCAAATCTGGGACGCAGCATGTCTCTCCTACATCTTCTACAATCGTCACAAAGCTAGGATGCACTACATTGACGTCGAGCCTAGCTCTGACAGCAATACGCTCTTGGCATATCACAGGTCCACGGTCGATGTTGCCGAAGGAGATGACAAATCGGGCTGCTTGGTACACGCGCTATGGACAGCCTGCTCTGAATCGCCGGAGGCTGTATCAAAATACTGGCGTAACCAACCCTATGGAAATCTGTCCCTTCCCCCTGCGAGGCTCCGCATGCGCGAGCATGAAGGGGTTTGGGATGCTCCTGTTTGTCCGACTAAAGATATCTTTTGTATCAAAGCGAAGAGCTGGAAATGGAAAGCTCTTGGCGGAAATGATAAGCTATGGAGGGTAGCCATCCCACACTTGAGCCCTACAGGACCCCAAAATGTGGACATCAAGAGAATCGCGTTCGAATTCGACCCTACCTGGAATATAGATCTTCCAAGAAACTACTCGGATCTAGCATCAGAGGACTCTACCAGAGCATACTTTTCACGTTTTTTCTATAAAGCGTTCTTCAAGTATGCTACTGAGCCCGAGGTTTACCTTGTTGAAAAGTCTGGCCAATGGACAGCCTGCCTTCCCCAGGATCACTTTACTGGATACTCGTTTTGTAAAGATTATAACAGACTTTATGCCCTAGCTCAGCCGTACTACAGATGCTTTCTGTGTAAAGATTGGCACGAATCCGATGGAGCTTTTGCAAATGTTAGAAGCTTCATAGACAAGATTGAGCAGCTTTGCGAAGTCTGCGAACCAGACCGTCCCAATGCCAAGAACGACCACTTCGTTGACTGGGAATATGTAAGGCCAGACTATAAATTCAGCGATTGCATCCGATATCTCGCTCGTCTGGACAAGCGAATTAAGCATTGTGTGGGCCCGCATGTTAACACACCTTTTCCGTTGGTACGATCTACTTGGGACGGTATGTGGGACCCGGTGATCGAGTAGAAGGAGAGAATGCAAGGGCCAACCTAGATACTGGGAGCTTTGACAACTTGGGCTTTGCTTGGCCTTGAGAGGCACTCGGTCTCATGTGAGGATTATCTCCCTTAGCCCTGCGCCTATCGCTCCATGCTTGCGAGGCTGTGAGCTTATTCCGACAGATAGAACTTGGTCAGACAGAAATACTGTCCTTTCCACGATTGTAACTCCTAACCAAAGCTTTCCTTAAAGTTGCAAATAGCAAGAGACATTAAGAAAGCCGCGTGTCTAGTGAGCTTGAAATATAATGTGAACAAAACTACTAAATTGTGCACTCTGACCCACGAACGAACTATACTGTTAATGCAAGCACCACTTCTCTTTTGGAGACTATGCCATCGCTGTCAAAGAAGAATCGGCCCTCCATTGCGTACATTTGAGATTTAGCTTCCAAGTTTCGTTTGCCACAAGAGAACGGTACCCATAGAATTGAGAGACGAAAGCTATTTTTCAGAACCCTAAAGCTTCAAGAGCTGTAGACCTTTAATGCTGCGGAAGTTTATAAAGTTGCAACGCAAACTTCCACTCGAGAAACTCAAAATGCCAACCATTCGCTGTCAAACAAAGTTTATTATGGGCTTTCGGCCATGAGTCACGATAAAATTTTCCGTTGTCTATAAGAGAGCTCCATTTCTCTTCCCTTACTCTCCCACTTCTCAATACTACGCAGCCTTGCCTGAACTCCGGGAAACACCCTCTTGTCACTTCCGCCGCCTTCCTACTACAAACAGATACGGAATCTTCCACCCACGGACAACTGGTCAAAATGGCGGCATCTTCATTCCATCCATTCCCGAGGCTACCAACTGAGCTTCGGCTCCAGATTTGGACTGCAGCTTGTCTTTGTCACCATCCATCTGATTATAGAATACACTATATTGATGTTGAACCCACCTCTACCGAAGGCACACTCTCTCCTTCTTACGAATTCACGGCGCGTCTTGCAGAGGGAGACAACGACTCCGCCTGCTTGATGAATGGGGGACTATGGAAAGCCTGCAAAGAGTCGCGGGACGTCATGATACAACATTCAAGGATCGACGACCATGATTGCGCAAAAATCGATATCCTTGGAAATACAGAGGACTGGTATTTGCCTGTGTGTGCGGGGCATGATATCTTTTGCATCAAGTCAAAGAGCTTTAATACTCCTGAGGACCATGATGAGGCTTGGCAAATACAAATCCCAGGCCTGAGCCCTAAAGGATCGCAAATGATGGATATCGACAACATTGCATTTGAGTTTGACGAATCTTGGAACAGAGACATGCCGAAAAGTTACTATGGTCTCATGTGGGAGAAGTCTACCCGGGGATTTCTCTCCTGTCTTCTTTACAACAAATCACGCCATGGAATGACAACGCCTAACATTTGGATCATTTTGAAGACATTTGACCACCATAAGGGTTCCCGTACCGCATGGCATCATTACGATACAGAATATGTCCAGATCATCCCGCAGTTTCCAAGTCGTCTCTGTCTCGGGACACGTGATTTCGATGGAGTCCTTGAAAACGCCAAAACGTTTATAAGTACTCTCGATGATCTTTACAAGGCCAACGAAAATGGGCATGGCAATTTTCACTGGTGTCCGTGTCAAGACTACGATGAGTTTGAAATATCCAAAAATGTCGTATTTCTTGCTTCTCGACGTCGACACATGCAAAACGACTTTTCTACAGACAGGGCTGGTTGAGGATGAGGAGGATTCTAACATGGGGTTCTGGATACTGTGGCGGAGGCAACGATGGAGCTCGATTATGAACACCTTTAGATAGAAATGGGGATCCTCTCACCTTCTTGAAAGTTGGCCATGCATGAGATTAAGCTTCTCCTTTTGATGTTACCTTTTTCATGTTGTTAAATAGCTTCGACGACTTAAAACTAAGATTCATATTGCCTCTGTTTTGGTAAAATGCTTACAGAATGCGAGTGCCAGAACCTTATTATCCGTTGATGTTACCATGACACCGCTTGCAAAGAAGAATCTGAGCCTATTACGTCGGATTTCAAAGTCGGATGATTATTGTTCTGCGCTTGGGTATCTGCTCTATCTCATAACCTCTGGCGCACTACTACCATAGAGTACATAATACTCCGTTCGACTTTCCGGCCAAATACAAATACGCTGTTCTCGTTGCTCACTGGAGTGAGACCCAAATACGTGACATTCTCTGATATCCATGTTCCTGGTGCTGAGGATCCATTCACTAATCTCTCTCGTCACTGTTGTCACCCCCATCATTCTCATCGCTGCTTGGGTCCTCACTTTCGTCCTCACTATCGTCCCCATTTCCATTGCTACTCTCAACACCGTCGTCAATACACCCCGGCAGCTGATTCTTTCGTCGAACGAGAAGTCTGAGTGACAGAGACATAGGGCTCGAGTCGTAGAAGTAATGTTTCTTGTCAGCAAGTTGTTGAAGGGCATCAATGAAATTGGATACAGCACCCAGAGCGCCATCAACCACGTTGCTGCGAGTTTGATCCCAGTCGATCTCGACATATTCGTCTTGAAGGTCGCGCCACACAGCAGAATACTTCTCGCGAGATCGGGCAATCCAACGGACGTTGTCGTCGATGAGCCAAAGGGATGGAAAATCATTAACCGCGGGTACTTGGTAAAAGAGGGACGTCGCTACTCGGCTTCGCACAGAGTCTTCACGACCCATCAGATCGTCCCAGCTAGAAGGAAAGTTGTCGTTCCAACTGCGGTCGAACTTGAAAGCAATGTTCCAATATCCAACAACTGTGAACTGCTTGGTCCCAAGGAAGGGGGCCAACAGCATCATTTTGAGAGAGCTCCCGGGGAGGGCCTCCAGATTGGAGGCATCGATGCAAAAGATGTCACTCCACGGCTTCACCAGCGGGCACCATTTCTCGTTATTGTTCCAAGGAACAATAGCAGAGGGGAAATCTTTGTAGTACCATGCACGCTGGTCTCTTCGGAGGGGCTGCTGTCGACATGCAAGCCATTCCTTGAAATTCAGATGCTCCAAGACCACTTCGCGGGATTCTTTGCAGGCCAACCAAAGACCTGCGTCCCAGAGATAGGCTGACTTGTTGAGGGGGTTGACGGGAGATAGCGAATTGCCGGTTTTCCCCCATGGGCACTCCAGGGCTCTCATAGCGACATACCGACTGCCTTCATAGCCGTAATCGTGACCTTCGAGGTTCGGGTCATCGATAACCGGATGGACAAAATCTTCACTCCAGGAGCCGTAGGTATCCACGGCATCCACGGTGACGTAGTGAAGTCCACCCTCAAAATCCGAGCAAGGCAGACAGGCATACTTCCAAATCTTGATTCGTAGCTCTGGCGGGAGTCGTGAGAATTGGGGAGATGTCGGATATGTTGCTGGAGTTGAGGTACTCCAGAGATACTGGTTTGCAGCAATTCCAAGCGAATCTTGAGCCATAGTAACTACTGTATGTTAGACATGTTATGTCATGATAATAGCTTAGCATACCTAGACGCCACTATAAGCCAAGATCAAATACTGCTATACAAAACTTCGAGGACGACAACGAGAAAAAGTGAAATGGGAGGTGAAGTGTGAATTTGAAGAGTGAAGAAGAGAGAATATTTAGACGCGAAGGTCAGGTCTTTGTGAACATCAACATGTGGCCCATCATTGCTAGTGAATCGACCAGTCCACCTCGCAGTGGAAACATCAGTGCCAGTGCCAGTGGAAACGGAATCGAGGGACAGTAACACAAGATGCACATTCGCAAAACATCCCAGCCAATCATCTCATAGAACCGCCAACTCACCGTGACCATGGCTGCTACAGCCAATGGCCTGAGAACAGCATGTCAAGGGGCATGCAGGACGGATTAGCCAGTTTTATGACGAAATGCCTTGCGATGCTTCATGTTCAACCTGAGATATCCGTTTTTCGACGTGGCTCAACATCCCGAGTCCGAACTGTCACCATCGGTTTCTGCCGTGGAAGTTAGGGGCATGCCATACCAGGCTCTGTTGGTTTGTAATCCGGTTAACAAAGATGGTCACTTTCCTGGATTCAAAGGAATCTTGATGAACCTTGCTTCAACTTTATCCCAAGATAAAGTTCACAGACATGTATAAACGTATGGCTTATAAGTAACTACAGTCCATTGGAGTCTCTTTGAGCTTTAGCCGAAAGTTACTTATTTCTTTGCCTATAAAGGTTCCCATCTCCCCCCCTTATCTGACTTAACCCAAGACTCCGCGGGGAATTTAAACTCCAGAAATGTCTACTTTTCACTTCTTTAACAAATTGCCCGCCGAACTGAGGCTTCTAATTTGGAAGGCTGCTTGTCTTCCATCCACATCACACGACCGCGGTATTCAGTATATCGACGTCCACAAAGATCAAGTGATGCCCTTGAGTTGCAACTGGTCTCCAGATCCCAGTCTTGTAAGGTCAAGTCAACAGCTCAACACGTCCGCCTGCCTGATAGATGGAGGCCTTTGGAGGGCCTGCAAGGAGTCGAGAGAAGTTGTACGAAAACACTCACACCACAAAAACTGGCTCAGGATGGGCCGACACTTGAATGCCCATTGGCTAAACTGGGAATATGGTGCGTACTGGTCTGGTGGAGAAGACGCAGTGCGCCCTGCGATTGTCACGATCAGAGAAGATGACGAAAGATGGCACATGATGGTATATCCAACTCGGGACATCTTTACTATCAGGACAGCCAATTGGCGGTCTATATATCGAGATCCTTATACTCCCCGGGCATATATACCAACTAATGTTTTCGGAACTTTTGTACAACGTTTTATCAAGAATATTGCCATCGAGTATGATCCTTTATGGTCCCTTGATTTCCCATTCACCTTGGACCGCCTAAGCAGAGAAAACTCTTCTCGGGGATTCCTAGCAAAACTACTTATCGACCGCGCCTCTAACAGACACCAAGATGGCCCTGACAACATTTGGCTCATCGACAAAGAGGCTCGGTGGACTAGATACCCCTCCAAGTTGATACCTGACATCGAGGAACTGCAAGAGGTTCCAACCCCCAGGCAAGATATTACTACGGTATATCGAGATTGTCATGCGGACTATATCGAGATTTCTTGGGACCATTCTACCGCCAGACGCGCTGATGATTACCCAAGTTCGAAGGATTTCATCACAAAGCTTGGTATGCAATTCGATTCTAGGTTACTTTATATCTGCTGGCACGTCATACATCCGAACAGCATTGGCCCCAATTACCAGTTTAACGCCAGGGAAGCCTATAAACGCTTTGCCGTTGAACGTGCGGTTAGGCTTCTTGTTCGCGCAGACAATGAAGTAAAGCCTAATACAACAAGCTGCAAGACAAAATGCCACGATATTGGTTGGTGTATATGTAGTGAGGATTAGGGCAAGTGATGGGAAGAGTTAGGTTCGAGTTCAAGACATCAAGGAGCTATGGAGCATGGATATTTGCCAGTAAACGAATTGATATCACAGTTCGGGCTTAGCCTTTGGGTTTCTCATCCTCATCTCGAATCCATTCCATAAAGCCGGGATGCCCAGAAGATCCATCGGGGTGTCCAGAAGTATATTAAGGAGGATAGGTAGACTTCAGGGACAAATCCCTCCTGTTTTCCCATATGCAGCTACACTAGGTCGCCAGAATTCCAAGTCCTAATAGCATCCCCGTCCCTATTTGTGCCAGTAGGTATCATATCTTCTGTCTCATCCGCATCCACGCGGTGTTCCATGTTTATGTGTCTCGAACGACTTCTAGAGCGGTATGAATCCAGTCAAGAAATACTGTACCACAGGAGGTCAATACCTGCGGCGTATGGAAGAGGAGGTGCACAAACCTCAGTTTAGTCAGTCCAGTGTTACTGAAATATAGCCCCTCGCGATCGAAAGTAGTCGATTGGTGATTAAGGTCACTTCCATCCGTCCGTCTCATGGATTCTGACTTCTTAATCTTGTCGGGGTACGATTGGGGGGTCGGAGTCGCATCGGAACGGAACGGTTCGGCCGAGACTGGGTCGACTGGTCAGACAAGAGATTCTCCGGGCCAAGGGTTGCGACTAAAGAGCACTAGGTAAATGGTTGATAAGTATTTTGTAACACTGATCAACTTTGGTGGCATCGGTCGTGACCTCCTCCCCTTTGGGTTACGTCTCCCAAATTATTTGAGATCTATCGGGCCAGCGTGAATGTAATGCGAGCCCAGTTTCATCGCCATTCCGTCATCGACCCAAGTTTAGTCGTCCCCTGAGAAAGACTCGGCAACACTGGCTCAATGCTCGCTCAGTTGAAGCTGGACACTGACTCAACACTGGCCCAACGCTCAGTCGAAGTTGGACAAGGGGCATTCCTTTTCTCATTAGCCGTGTTCAATAACGTTCTCTATCCCTGTTACGCCTAGTCACGCCCCTGAGCAGGACTGGCCACGACTCAGCAGACTTCGCCAAAGGCTAAAGATTGCTGGACGATTGCTGTACCTCCCTGTCACAATACGTGGCTCAGTTGCACCCTTGGGTCGAACTGGCCGTGACTTGTAAACTCTGAAGAAACTCTTCGAAGATGTATGACTTTGGCAATAGGCTTTCGGAATTGGCGGTACGCATTCTGTCGCCGTGTGTTTAACTTAGCACACTGTCCAGACGATTGGAGGAAGCTTGCATGAGGGTGGCCTTGGTCTTTGATACTTTGTTCAGGGGAGTGGTCTCCAGTCTTGACCTGGCGGCCTTTCCAGACGAGGATGTAAAGTGCATATTATACAGCTCGGACCCTGAGGGTGGTGCTGAGCTTATCTCAACCCAAGCATCACTGAAGAGAATCGTGAGGAACTGAGCACTTCGTGTCATATTCTGGAAGGGCGTATTCTGTAAACCTTGGACGTCTGGGAGTAGATGTCTCTGTCGATTGGTGTTCACCCGTTCTTCCTTTCTTGTTCTCTTCCCATAAATAGAGTGTTCGGGTGCTGAACATGTAACCTGTTGGACGTTCGACTCCGTCAAAGCTCTCTGAACTCGAAGCCTTCCAACCCCTGGACTGGTCTTTGTTCGGCTTGCTGATGGAAGCTTGGTATCTTGGCAGGAGTCGGCGGTGGCATTCGCAATGGGTGGTGCAACATAGCGCTCGGATCTCGATCCAGCTTCAAAAGAGTCGCTGTGTTTCGACTGGGCTGACGTTGGAACGGTACATGGATGGACATTCGATGTCGGCGGCAGCAGGTGTGCTGTTTTTCGACGGGATGGGCAAACGAGAAGATGAGGGGGGAGAAGTGAAGGGCTGGATATATGCTTGTGCTTTTGGCGCTCAGGTGATTGGTTCGGGGAGGGAGTAGACGATGCGCTTGGATTAGTGAGCACTTTTGATGGCTGTTGGCGATGATCGAGCGGACGAGATGGAGAAGAAATGATGAAGTCTCGCTTGTACGAGTCTGTAGAAGCGGAGGACGATGACGCAAGCAATAACGCAGGGGAAGGGGGTCATGATCTTGGATGGGAAGAGCCCAACACGTGATATGGCTTTTGGGGGGCGGTTGCCTTCTCTCAGCACCTTAAGCAAGCTGAACCAACCCACCAGGGTCTTTAGTGCCCTGCGCTACCGCAAGCCAACTACCAACTCCATGACCTTGCCTTGTCGCCATTGCTTGCGTTATCAACCGTCTAGGACCTACTGCAATCACTCTGAACGACCGACATAAGCCTCTTGGACCGGTCTCGAACTTCGTGCGCTAGGTATTGAGCCCAAGCCCGTCACCGGACCGCTGAGCGCTTCGACGTTCTATGCATCAGCCAATTGTCTGCCTTGTAGAATCGCCCCCATGGACTTCACAACAGAAATTTCACAAGAAAACACCATCGACCAGTCCTTTGCTCCATTCTTTCAAGTGAAAGATAGTTCGAAGAAGGTGCCAGGCGAATTACAACCTCAGATGTTCGAGGTGGAAGAGTCTCACAAGCGCTCAAGTTCATCATTGTCCCAGCACTATGTCGACCAGTGGCAGGTGGCTCTTACGTTCTCTCATCAGAGACAAGTCTGAACACGAGATGTTATGAGTCTTCGACCAACCGAGAAAGTTCAAGGCGAGTCTTGGAGTCAGTTTCTCGTGTGTTGTCTACTGATCTCAGCAACGACCAATGGAATGCCTTACGTCGCGTGGCGTTCAACATAATCTCGTTATTGAAAACTGAACAACCTGTTTGCACCAAGAGCTGTACAGAGCTTGGCTCCAGTGTTCGCTGCAATTAACCACGTGAGTCTCGCTAATCCTCAACGGTCTCTTTGTTCAGCCAAACCCACTGAATATGATTATGGCGAACATCCGAACAGATTTCGGAACACGATCGAGTTATCAAGCAAGCTTTCTGGCCCAAGTCCTGCTCTCTTGCCAACTTATATAAGGCCCTTGCGAACCTCCCACAGATCTTTCCGAGCCACCAACATCCATCAACTTACCACGATACCCACACAAACAAACACAAAGAATTACCGAAACATCCTCACTTCGAAATCAACAACCATGTCGCACACTTTCGAGATGCACGGAAAGTCTCTCCTTCACTTCCTCCCCGAGCATCTTCTTATTTTATTCTTGAACAAGGCCTCTTTCGAAGGAGCTGATATGGACGAGATCATGAAAGAAGTCATCGGCGCTCGTCCATTGTTCCTTCCAGAACCCCGCGATGAGTCCGAGATCTTGAAAAGCGTTCTTCGCAAAGGGCAATTCCCTTTCACGCTGAAAGGCTACTTCAAATTTGGTTTCCAGCCTTCTTTCCAGTGGATTCCTACGCAGAGTCGAGACCCAAACCGCGGTGAACACTCAGTCATTGCGGGCTTTGCGGGGCGATATAAATCTAAAGAGGATACCAAAGACGGTCTGAATAACTTGAAGTTGTTCTTACATCAGACACTTCACGCTGTCGGGGCTTCTTCAGCTTCTGACCCGTCTCCACGACCTCCTATCGACCACTTGGTCGAATGGATCAAATGGACCGCAGATTCACTGTTTGCCGACGAATTCCGAGATGGCATCTGTGACATGATTGGGATACTGTGCAAGAATGGCTGTGTAATTGATCTTTATCAGGATCGGTTTGGGGCCCAAGGTCATCCAGAGACAGTACCCGACAACGCAGTCGAGCTTGCAATGCAATCCTACTGCCCCACCTCTCTCCTTGAGAACTTTCTCATGTACCGCCCAGTTAACGAAGGGCCTCTGACCGCTAGGAGCAAGCTCTGGAGACGTTTCGGTTCTGATCTGCCTCGAGGAACACACAGCGCTGTGTCAAACATGGAGTGGATCGTCGCCGGTATTCACACCCAGTTCTACGGCCGAAAGTTTGGTCCTTTCATTGGTTATGGTGAGAGACTCAAAGGCCTCGACTATCCCGAAGGCATTGCTGAAGTCCACAAGATCAAGGCGTATCTGCTTTCGAACGACTACTGTACCGATGAGATCGAAAGAGAAGCCCTGAACAATCTTGCCGAGGCGGTCACCAATATCCAAGAGATGCTGCCATTCACTGGTGGTCTTCATCACAGTGAGGAGAGCGAGAATGAAGGTTTGTTCAGACTCTACAGTGCTGTGTCATGCCTCGCTTCCGACTCTTACCAAAAAGAATGTGAGGAGCTGACTGAAGAGTTTGGCCCACGACGCCATCAATTCATCATCAACAACCGGTTTGACCCTCGAGTTGAGTGGATGAAGTATACGGCTGACGTCAAAATTCCCGAGTTGCAGAGTGCACCTGGAAAGAAGTTCTGTGATGAGGCCGTCGAGATCTGGCGACGACTGATCATTGAGCGTGGCGACAACCGTCGTTGGTGGGAGATTACTGAGCAGGGCAAGTGGTTCGTTCCTATTGAAGAGGTCAAGTCTGCTCTCAGAGCCGCGAATCCATCTGCTGCAGATGCCATGGGCTTGTAAGTGTTTTCGCTTTGCATTGTTTCGAGTTGGGGAAGAGGTTAGCTTTGGTGTTTCCACGTAGCCCCATGGCTGACGCTGGGCGCTTTGTACTTGGGAGTCTGGAGTTTATTGAGAACCAAATCTAGTTGAATAAAAAGGTAAGTACATGAATCCATTTTCCAATCGTACCATTGTGAGGGAAATAAGATAGTGACCGTGATACTAACATTGCAACAACCAGGATGTGAACCCCGCACGACAAGCGCCGATCCCACTCAAAGTTGGGGAACCTTGATCATGTCCTTCCTGATTGAGTATACGGAACCGACGCTTATCAGGCGGTCATGTTTCTCCATGATTGTTGAGCGAATCTCGGTGCGGTTCTACAATTGAAGTCCGGATCCTTCTTGTCACGTTGACTCGTTATAAAAGATCGATAGCGAGGCTTCTTCACCTTTTCCCTCCTCCAAGGTTCTCTGCGGTCAAGCCAATCATAAATCATGAGGTCCTCATTGTGTCAGGTGGCAACAGCTAGCATCCTTTTGGCTTCAGGCGTTAATTCTCTCGCCGTCGCGCATCCTCACTCTTTGCGCAGCGACACGCCTGATGAGTCCCCTCTCAAGATTCCTGGACTGCCTCTGCCGAACGCGACAAAGTCTTACTGGCAGGACCCTCCTCACCGCATCGCCAACCTCCGCACCACCAAGGACTTGCCGACGGAGAAGACCTTTGACTATGTCATCATTGGTTCGGGTATCTCAGGTGCCGCCACAGCACACAAGCTGTTGGATCGCGACTCAAGCCTGTCAATTCTGATGATTGAAGCGCGAACTGCAGCTTCAGGCGCGACGGGTCGCAATGGGGGTCATTGCAAGCCTGGTGACTACAATGGTGTGAAGGCGTGGGTCGAGACATACGGCGAGGACGATGCTCTTCGAATCGCCAACATGGAGCAGGATTGTGTCAACGACGTGCGCGATTTTGTCCGCTCACACAACGTTTCAAGCGATTTCACCGATGTCGAGACCGCAAGTCTGTACTGGACTGATGATTCGTTCAAGACAGCCGTCGAGTCAATTGAGTTTCAGCATGATCTTGAGAAGCGACGACCTAATGACGTTCCCAAGAACAAGAGGACTATCTGGAAGGGCCAGGATGCTCGCGACTACTGGGGATGGCCTGAGATCGTGGGAGCTGTGACCTTCAAAGCCCATACTCAGAACCCATACCATACCGTCTGCGGGATGCTTGAGTACAGCCTCGAAAAGGGTCTCAATCTACAGACAAACACCATGGCGCTTAGTCTCAACCAGCTCGGCAAGAAGACCAAGGCTGGAGCAAGATGGGAAGTCAAGACGAACCGAGGAACCGTCAAGAGCAAGCAGGTCGTCCTCGCTACCAACGGCTTCACTCCTGCTCTTCACCCTGGTATCGCAAGCACCAACTTCACCATGCCTGTCCGCAACCAAGTCTCTGCCGTGACACCTTCCGCCAACACGACCGATAACAAAGTCTTCAGACGAAGCAATAGCGTTCCTGATCTTCACAGCGGTAACGTCTACATCGCCGCTCAGCCCCCAGGTGCCAAAAACGCAGGCAGTGTTGTAATCGGCGGCTCAACTCAAATGTCTCCCACGCGCGAACGATACATCACCGACGATACAGCCATCAACGAGCAAATCGCCTACGTCCTCCATGGCGCAGCGCGCACTGTATACGGGTATGAGAACTGGGGCGGTTCAACGAAGGTTATTCAGGACTGGACGGGTATCGTGTGTGAGACGCCGGATGGGTTCCCTCTTGTCGGCGAGGTTCCGGCTGAAGATGGACTGTGGGCTATTGTTTGTATGAACGGACACGGAATGGCGTGGGCTTATAGGAGTGCTGAGGCGCTGGTTGACATGATGACTGAGGGCAAGACGCCGAAGTGGTTTCCTGAGCAGTTCAAGGCGCAGCGAGCGTGGGAGGTACAGAGCAACGACGAGTTATGAAGTATTTAGTAAAAATTACAGATTCAAGAGTCACTTTCACTTGTTTTCCAACAAAGATGGGCGAACTAAGTTTGCAACCTCACCAAGTGCCATAGTGAGAAAGGCCTGTCTCGTGATTACATAATGCGCTTCTTATCATCACGAACCCCAATCTCCAGCCCCTCATCTTCATCTTCATCTTCGTCTTCAATTTCAACTTCACGCTCCAATCGCTCCCGTTTTAACTATGGCGCCACCCGAATTAACGATCAACCCGCCTTTACTAAACTCGGCAACCCCATGGGCCACCGACATCAACGATCTTCTGGCAATCGCTTTATCCCCATCGACAGGCGCTATCACAACCCGCACATCGCTTATCAATGGCTTCGGTCATCAGCATGAGCAGCACCAATATCTCTTCTTCAACCCCGGGACTGTGACCCCAGATCAAGGCACTTCGTCCAACCAGATCCCGCCAAACGGCCACACCGAAATTGCTTCAGCGAGTCTGAATAACTTGGGCTACAGTCCCATCACCCTCGATGGGTACCTCGGCTTCTTATCAGAGATTGCTCGTCGCCTTCCTGGGCTGCGAAAGACTTTCATCGTTAGTGTTACAGGCTCGCCTGGGGATATCAAAGAGAGCTATGTTCGTATCGAGGCTGCGTCGAAGGCCCTTCCTTTCCCTCTGGCCATGGAGGTCAACTTAAGCTGTCCAAACATCCCAGGCGCTCCACCGCCTGCGTACGGCGGTACTGCTCTCAAGAAATATCTCGATCTGCTGCCGAAGAATCCTTCTTTGCCTGTTGGTATCAAGACGCCGCCTTACACTCACCATGGACAGTTTGCAACCTTAATTGAGACATTGATTCCAACTGCATCGTCCCTCAGTTTCATCACCGCCACCAACACTCTCGGGTCCTGTCTCATTCTTGAAAACGACAAGTTAGAACCCCAATTGCCTGGTACTGGTGTTGGTGGCATGGCCGGTCCGCCACTTCATCCGCTTGCACTAGGTAACGTGTCAACGTTGAGAAAGATGCTCGACCAAGTCCCGGAACTGAGTCATATAAAGATCATCGGGGTCGGTGGAGTACGTGACGGGGACGGTTATCGAAGGATGAGGAGCGTTGGGGCTTATGCCGTGGCAGTGGGGACAGGTTTGGGGAAGCAAGGACCAGGGGTGTTTGAGAGGATTGAGAGGGATTTGAAGGGGGAGTGGAGAGTGAGTTCTTTGAGGGAGAAGCTGTGAGTGGCTAACCCGTAAAGGGTAGTGCCTGATACTCAGTAACTTTAAGAGACTTGGAAGAGACTGTTCATGTTCACGAGACGCGGCTGGCCATTGTTTAAACTCTATCAACGCTTGCATTTAACATCTATAAATCATCTATAACTAAATCTAAACATATACCATCCATGTGCCCTCTAAGAAGAGTTGGAGTTATCGGCACAAGACCAAGCAGCAGAACCGCCGCTCACGTTATAGGAGTCGATAATACCCTTGATGGAACCATAAGTACCACCAACCATGAGGAAGGTACCAAGGACGATAACAAAGATACACCAGCCGACCATCATGGTCCACTTGGTAGTGCGCTGAGACTTGTCCTTGCCCTCAGCCCAGTGGTCGTAGAGCCAGAGGCAGCCAAAGAGCTGCATGCACTGCAGGGTTCCGAGAAGGGCGCCGACGAGGGAGACGAGACCGCCGAAGACGGGGATGCCGGAGGCGATGACGTAGGCGATGATGGCCATGCCGAAGGTGCAGCTGAGCCAGACGGCCCAGTGGGTGAAGCTGTTGGCGGTGAGGTGCTTAGAGCCTCGGAGGAGGCGAACGAAGGCATATTTGGCGGGAACCTTCCAGTTGTCAGTATCAATTGTCATTTCACAGTGAAGTTATTGAACTTACGTGAGTGTAGAGTGTAGCAGAGACAATGAGACCAGGGAGAGCCAGACCGTAGCTGACCTTCTTGATGGTCTTTCCAGCAGATCCGAGAGCGGGGGAAGCGACGTAGGTACCGCAGTAGTAGTAGACAACGATGCCGACAACAATGTAAACAACAGTGACGACGCTCTGGCAAAGGATCAAAGCCTTCTTGTAGTGCTTAGGCTCTCGCATCTCAGCAGCGATAGGGAAGAAGACGGGAGTTCCACAGTAGGCAAAGATGAAAGCAGCGATGGCAGACATGGCCTCAGCGAAGGTAGGAGTGTTGAAGAGCTTGTAGTCGGACTTCCAGACACCATCCTTGGGGGCAAGGTCGGGGCGGTCTTGAACACCAACGGCGATGGTGACAACGAAGACTGTAATTTGTTAGGGATGTTTCTATCTGAGTTGATAATGAGACTTACTGGATGTGACGAGGGTGACGAGACCAACCCAAGCAAGCCAACTGACTTTATCAAGAGTTCGAATCGAAGCGGTAACGAAGGCAACAATACAAGCAACAGCCACAAAGACAGCAGTGCAAGTACCATGCATACTCAAACTGTTCAAAGCGATCGAAATACCAAGCATAGCAGATCCCGCAATGCAAATCGTAAGAAGCGAGTACGAGATACCGTAAAACTCCCTTCCAAAGCGTCCAAACACAAGACCAGCTGCGTCATCGATGCCGTAGACCTCGGGATGTCGCTGCTTGAACCGTCCGACGATGTAGTCTGACCAGGTTGTGATGACGGCGATGCACAGCATGCAGATGATGCCGGGGATGAGACCGAGGGCGTCGAAGGAGGCGGGGATTGACAGGACGCCGAGACCGATTTGGGACTTCATCATCAGAACTGAGGTTCCGAGCCAACCAACCTGCTCTCGTTAGCTGTGTCTTCTGGTGTTGTTGTGTGTACTGGGGTGACGTACGTTTCGGTAGTTGGGACCATCCTCGGTGATTGTTCCAAAGACAGCATCGTTGGTGACGCCGGGTTCTTCACCGTGATGCTTGGTAGGCTCAGGGGCATGATTCTCCGAATCGTAATGGCTCATGATTGCAGTTCTTCCCTTTCACAAGCTTGAACACAAAAGATGGATAGACAAAGAGAGAAGGGGAACCCGAGTCTGGGGCACGCTTATATATCTGGAGCCCATCTCATCTGGGGTATTTGGTTCCCACCCAACTACGTAAAAGGGTTTCGTTGGAACATTTGATCTGCTCTACCCCAAACTGACTCGCATCTCCGTTTATGGATCCCAGTGGATAACGTAAGAGATAGGGGAGTGAGTTCTTTTGATTCACGGACGAGGGCCCCATGGGGGCAGAGTATGCTGAGCGGGCCGAGTTTGTAGCTTATCTCGAACGGGTCAATCATTGACTTCTTCTCTCTTTCAGCCGAGAAATACCGTCCCTCGTCAAATTTTTCTGCAGAGTTTGTCCACACTTTTCCCCTTTTGTCAGGGCGCACTAGACAGAGTCAGGTTAGCGGTTCCGCTTCTCCAATTCAGCTCGCGGCTATTCTCGCTCCAACTTCACGACTCCAACTAAACAAGCACCTTTCACAATCTCGTTGAACCGAAGACAAGGACTGTTTGTTCCTGGGGTGAAATCTCGGGGCCCCGGGTGGCAAGGGATGTTTTTTGTACGTAACAGACAGAGGAGGAAACATGGTCATGGTATGATGGCAGTGTAAGGTGACTTCTTCCCCAAGTTTTTGAGGGAGAGAGTGAGTTGCTCAGTGCGGAGAAGGCACAGGTTACTCCAAGTTTTTGACGCCACATCCGCTACTACTTCTGCTGCTGCTTGCTTGGCTCGGCTTGACATGGGAGATTGTGCAGGCAGATTTCGGCACTTGACGCCGTCTCCACTTGAGGCTGCGGTCGGCCCGAGACTCGTTCGCAGAGTCCAGTTCTTACGGCCGCAGAAAAAGGGATCATCATCATCATCATGATAATCAGTATCGCTACCAACAAGAATCACAACATTATCTCTCCTCCCTGGTCAGTGAGTAAACCTCAGTTCATGTTTATCTGGCCATCCTTGAGCAAGCCCATAAAAGCTATGAACACCCATCATCACCACATGTTTCTGCCCATCCCCCTACCAGTGGAGTCACGCCTCAACGCACGCACTTCTAGACCCAACGGCGTTTGTACGTAAAAGAAACCACTTGATACATAATAACGTTGACCACATGTTTTCTTGGCGATTGTCAATGATAAACAGCGCCCCATGGGGAATATGGAGTTGGTCTCCATTGCGACACGTCGTGACGGCACAAGATCTTCAGATCACTCTACGTCTCTTGGATCTTGATGAAGCTTGAATCGTGAAACTGACAAGAATAAAAATGTGGCTAGACCAAGCACAGGTTAAGCTTGTATTAGAAGCGAACTAAAATGATCGCCCCTTAAACCCAGATTTATTGCCTCACCAGACCAAAACGACCTACCCAACACAGAAAAGTCTGCTGCAGAAAAATAAAATGTCCCGTATTCTCCGTCGCATCATGTCGGGCTTACCGAGCCTGCAACCTCGGGTCCGCAGCCACACACCTGTCGAGTTTTTTTTCCTTCCAGAAATTTTCTCAAGCGGCGCTAGATAGTCTTCTAGAACAACTTTGCTTTTGTTATTGGTTCGGGAAAAGCCCGCCGTCGTGGCAGGGCGCGCTACATGCAAGGGCGCGCTCTGATGACGATGTCGGACGTGACGTGACGCTACCCTAGAGGAGAAGAGACACGTGGAATTGATCAGCAGTGACTGTTTCTGCTGTTCACATGGCTGTTGGTTGCATTCGTGATTGAGACTGAGTTCTGCTTGGAGAAGGATCGGCAGAGCTCATTTCTCTTGGAATGCTAAGCCTTGAACACCGAGCAACACGAAGGATCAGAACGGGTTAACGGAGATAAACGCCCAAATTACCCATCCAATTGCATGCCCAGACCATAAGGTTGATCCAGCTCTTGGCCGTTCTCAAACAGGAAATTACGCATCTTGTCCAGTCGTATACAGCGCAAAGGCCAACACGTGTTATTTGCAGTAATAAATCCCTCGAAGCATTGGTAATCATATAAATTAATTCAGGATCTAGACTCTTGTTGGTAGTTTTTATGTCCATGTCGATAGATATGCTAACAAAATGGGCCGATTTCTCTTCTCCACTCACTCCGCGACCCAGAAATGTCGACGCTCCTTTTCTCCATGAAGGACAAGGATATGGGCGGTTGTTATCAATCGTCTAGAATCTGACCTGAAACAATGCTATCAGTGGTTATTTCCGATTGCAGACACATGTTAGACTGGTTGCTTCACCAGCTTCACAAGCGCGGTTGGTCATCCGGCATATCAACTTTTGGCAAGAATGAGCATGAAAGGATTGCAGTGGATGTTTCATGATATGATCGCGTTGCCCAACTCGTTTCAACTGCAAGGCTGGTGAGATGCACGTTATGAGCTTAGTGCATGGCGATGCTTCTTCAGAGTCGTGGATTGATGGTCTTCTCGGGTATCTCGGACCCCGTACCGAAGATTGGGAAAAGGGACAGAGAAATATGGAGACTGGAAATGCGTGCTTCGGGTCCATTGACGGTCCGCGACGACAATGTCGATCAACGAGGGACGGCCAAGTGATTTCGGAATGGTTGTCCTACCCTGAAGTTGCATTGTGAATACCATCGTGGGCTGAGTAACAATCATGTTGGTGGTCTGCGTGCTGTTGAGGAATTGGTATAGAAACTGATCGAAATGCGAGAAAATTGGATGTCACGCGTAATGAATCAACGGTCTTTAGCAAAATCGGGGATCACTATGACGTCAAGTCAGTTCAACGCTAAACTTGTCACTGTCTCCAGCATCTCGAACAACGTGACTACGCAACAGCAACCTCAGCTCGATATTCAAAAGTTCCCCAACTTCTAGAAATCTACAAAATGAGCGATCTCAAAAAACCAGAAGTAAAGCCTGTACCAAAAGACCACCGATGGATCCTCTTTGTCTCAGGCCCGACTGCATCCGGCAAAACATCAGTCGCTAAATTCATAGCAGAGAAGCTCAATCTCAAATTCGTCGAAGGCGATGATGTCTGTACCCTCTCATCTTATATATGAACTACCTAACAGCATCACAGTTCCACCCAAAAACCAACATCGAGAAAATGAGCCACGGCCAACCCCTCACAGACCAAGACCGCTACGGCTGGCTGCAAGCTCTCCACGAACACGCAACGCACCATCCTATCGGTCCAGGAACAGAACACCTCGTCGTTACCTGCTCAGCACTCAAGCGCCAATACCGCGATATGCTACGTGAAGGATCTGACAAGGCTGGTGATTTGCGCGTTCACTTTTTACATCTTGATGCGCCAGAGGAAGTGCTCACGAAGCGTGCTGCGGAGAGGAAGGGGCATTTTGCGGGACCGGCGCTTGTGCATAGTCAGTTTGAGGTATTGGAGAGGCCGACGGAGGATGAGAATGATGTTTTGATCGTTAGTGTTGATCAGTCGGTTGAGGATGTTCAGAGGGAGGCGTTGGAGAGGGTGAAGGAGCTTTTGGATGATGATCCTGAGTAGTCGGATCACGGAGGCAATAGTCTGAGAGGGTTGAATACATGCTGGATTGCAACTTGCAGCAGGAATCTCAACAATATGACCTGGGAGCACCTATAGCTTCTGGAGTATTGAGCCTTGCATTTGTAAACTCTCCCAAGGGTCCGAGACAACACTGCTGCACAAGACAATACAGACCGTCCCACCTGACATTCTACAAATTAGGAATAATAAACGAGGTGACAACAAGCTTTCGAACTGTCTGCCAAATGGATGCATATTGGCAAGATCCTATCAAAAGTTGGATTGCTGTTCGAGTCTCACAACCTCAACCTGCAACACCTCACCTCAGTTCCAACCGCCACTTCCCCAAGGCAGTAACCAGAGCAAATACTTCATCATACACTAAAAAAATACTTCAATCCATCTTGATATCATACCGGGCCTGGTGCACCCATCACTAGGCGCCAGAAACAAAGGGCGGTTGGTCATGTCGTTTGGCGATGGCTGCACCACGCGCGATACGATATAAAGGCGGATTGAAGTTTAGCAAAAAATTACATACAACAGCGGGGATTCACTGGTCGTCACCGACCCAACTACTAATCCGCCGGTTAGTGGCTTGACTATGGGAGAGCAGACGGGATCCCGTATTTTCCACTACCTATGGTCGTATGTGATAGTTGTGCTGTAGTGCTAGCTTATATACTAGAGCGGAACAGATGCCCTGCGCTGTCGCGCTTCTCCAACTTCCGCCGTTTGTTGACAGAACCGAAGTCGCCAAAGCAAAGCTTGTACCTCTGACGTTCTTTGTTGTTTGCTGTATAAGCTTTTACGCTAGAATCAGAAGTAAAATAATTAATTGTATAGCAGAGAACAACCTACTATTGAAAGGATGCCATGAAGCACTTGAGTTGGTAACTGCATCTCAACAGCATGAACGAGATAGTTGCAAGCGAGTTGGTGCGTGCAGTGCAGGGAGATCAGTGGAACCGCGCGCTGTGGTACGCTAGAAACTCTCAGGGATTGGCTTTGCGCCTAAAACCTGCACCAATTAGAACACAGGTTTCGTGGTCTAACGGTTATGACTGCGGATTCTGATTCCGCCAGCGAGGGTTCGACTCCCTCCGAGACCTTTCTTTTGCTCTGCTGGATAATCCTCCTTTTTGTTTCTGCGATCTCTTTTTGATAAAATAGCCAGCCAGATCAACTCGACTTTTTGGATCTGGTGTGTGACCTGGAGTATTTAAAAGACTAACTATAATTTAGCATACTTGCTATTCCTAACCATTAACGTTAATGAATGCAGGGACAAGGATAACTAGATATCAGTTCTGGAGAGGATAATTTATCTATATAGATATCTTGGATTTAAGCTAGCGAGAGTCTGTGGTAATTTCAGAAGATCCGGACTCCAGGTGATCGAGAAGGACAAGAGAAGCAGTAACACGATAGGGGATTAAGACAAGTTCTAGCATTAATTACTTAAAGCACTTTAATAGTCTGCACTAATGGTCGTGGAATACGGATATGGGGAGACAGTGGGCTCAATCAGCCATGTTAAAACCTCCAAGACGAAAACCCATCGACGAGTTGAGAAGGCTTGCTTCACACACTCTCGACTTTTCATATACAGCAACGCAGGGTGGCTGCTCATTGATCATCATCAGATTGGGAATTATTACCAACAGACCCTGTTTGCTTCGCTTTTTTGCTCGTTCTTGGAGAACATTGTTACTGTTGGGAGGCACCAACAGAGAACAAAGCCTCGCCGTCCCTCTTTATTGCAGTCGAGACTTATGGCTGACACGTTGAATCAGCACGGAGAACTTAGTTCTACTTTCATCGATTTAGCTCTTGTACCTTCGAAAGCTGGGATAATTGCTTCAAATCTAGACTTATTGTCTCAGAAATGAGGTCCGAGATAAGAAGGACAGAAGCAATCGCGGATGTTCTCTCCCTTTCGAATCTCAACCGTACGAATAGATCTGAAAAGTCTAAGAAATGATAAAAGGGATCTAACTGAAGATATCGCCAGTAGTTGCGGCGACCACTATTCAAATGTCTATATAGTGCGAGTCTACGCGAAAGGCGAAGACTACATCCCTTTAAACCATCTTCACTTCGGAATTCTCTTCGCGTAAGGAGCATATTCTCGGCGTTCGATATCTTCAATCAATTAACTACTGAGTCTTACATTAGACAGTTTCAGGTGTTCCCATGTCGACCGAGTACAGCAAGATAGCCGTCTTGATATGAGACTTGTCGTAGGTTGGATTGTTCAAGAATCCATATTTCCAAAACCAGAGGTCACGGCACCTTCTGAAACAACAGCCTACAGTCAATTATTATGATGCATAATGCCAAGAGTGACTGTAGCATGCGGTGAGAAGCCAAGCATGAAAAACAAGAATAATCGAGAAAACCCAACACAAACACGCAACAAGGCGATAAAACGATCCACAGATACCCTTATCTCAGGAATTCCGACCAGGGACAATCCGAATTTTCATCCTTGCCTCCATGGAATACGTGGCATTGAGCACCTCATTCGGCCAACTACCCTTCCCAGAACAGAAAGATCCAGGAACATCACACCCTCAAAGGGGCAACATTCCTCGATCTCAAGATCGCGACCCAATTTAAGCGGTTGACAGGCCCGCAATTAAGAGATTTTAGCGGCGAAGCCGTGCGGCTCAAGAGTCCACACTTGGAGAGAAACCTCCGGTTGACGTTAGAGTGGAGGACAAACGTCATTATTTAACCCTGTACCTGAATCATATAAAAGTTCTGAACCCGGATTTACAGTGGAAATGAGCAAGAATCTACTGAGTTTGAGTGTTTACCATGACTGGGCATCAGGAACAGAATCATGATTATTTTTCGAAACCCGCGACGCCCTCGACGCCAGGACAGGTGCATCTTGGGAATGTCGCGAGCAGAATCCCCAGCACCATCTCGGACCGAGAAGGACAACCTGATCGTGCAAAGTCGACACACTCAAGACGACATGGACTTCATGGTTTGCCCTCCAGCTTCATGTCGCGAATGAGCAAGCGACCCATCAGCTCAAGGCGCTTCACAAGAATGTCTAGCGGACACAGTACAGCGCGTCCTACAGTGCATCACCATGCTTCCCAATATCATGAGTATGCCCCCGCCGAAGAGGGCTACTATGAAGAGAACCCTTGGTTCGGCGAGGCAGGCAAGAAACCCATCTTCAGCCTTGGAAAACCTCTTCCCCACCGTGTTCGTCGCAAGGTCGTGAAACCGATCAGACCAGATGGAAAAGTCGATGAGGAAATGGCCATTGTCAAAGAGGAATCTGAAGATACACCCGCAGGATACGCCTCGCGCACCACTTCAGGTCAACCATCCCGAATGCATACTCAAACCAGTATCGCATCACGCGACATGCAGAATCAGCAGAGTAGAACGACAGCAGCTGGAGTCGCGCACAACGAAAAGCGAAATGATGCAGGGCAGCCGGTATTCGACTACGTCCCCGGTGAAGCAACGCCCGCAGCAACACCTTCGCATCGCGACCCTGCATCAAGAGTTGCTTCCCATCAACAAAGCAACAACCAACCAGACTACAAAATTGACAGCGAACCTTTGGGTCAGCAGGAGAAGCCGGAGGTTGAACCTGGTGAGGCGGATCCGAATGAGATGAGGAACTGGTGGGCTAGGATACGGGCGAAGCACCCTGAGCCACTTGCTGAGTTTCTTGCTACTTCTGTTGCCATCTTTCTAGGTCTCACTGGTACTCTCTCTGTCAATCTCTCGGCGAAGCAGTCGCAGCCTTATGGAACTTACGAGACTTCTTGTTGGGCATGGGGCTTCGCATGGATGTTTGGCATTTACCTCGGCGGCGGTGTCTCCGGTGCACACATGAACCCAGCTATTTCCATCTCCCTGTCACTATTCCGTGGTTTTCCATGGCGGCAGTGTTTTATATACATCCTAGCTCAATTCATCGCCAGCATCGTCGCCGGAGCACTCGCGTATGGAATCTACGCCGACTCAATCCACTACGTCGATCCCGAAATGGACGGCATGTCAAAAACATTCTTCTCAACACCTCGAGACTGGGTATCCCTCCAATCCGCGTTCTTCAACCAAGTCGTAGGCAGCGCCATCATGATGATCGCTGTCTTTGCACTAGGTGATGATCAGAACAACCCACCTGGCGCTGGTATGCATGCTCTGGTCCTCGGCTTTCTGGTAACGACCCTCAAGTTCACTCTTGGATACAACATTGGATCTGCGTTGAATCCTGCCTCTGATTTTGGACCGAGAGTTGTTGCGTATGCGGTTGGATATCGAGAGTCAAATGTGTTTCACAGCGGATGGTGGTTTTACGGGCCCTGGGCAGCGACGTTGATAGGGTCTGTAGTGGGATGTGCGTTGTATGATGGGTTTGTGTTTGTTGGAAGTGAGAGTCCGATCAATTTCCGGTTTAGCAAGGAGATTAAGAACAGGGCCAATAAGTTATTGAAAGATTAGAGTCGCTATAGATATATACCATGTTTCATTCCCATCAACTGCCACGTCCCCTTCGGACTGCACGTTCGTCCCCCGTCCGCCATTTGTTAGATCCCGATCTCTACCAATACACTTCGATGCACGTAGCTGAAGGAAGTACCCAGCATCAGACACCTCCCATGGCGCCAGTACTGCTCTTACGTTCGGTGTCCTCCCCATTCCTGAACTCGTACACTCTACCCTCATGCCCGTCCTCCACCAGCCAAGCTCTGATCTTATGATCCCTTCTACAACCTTTCAAACTCACACTCTTCGTAGCGACTGCAATTGACGAGAAAGTAACCTCCCGCAACTCCTCAACTCCATCTTGCCTCATAGCTCTCATTCCGTACGCCACGCCAATAGCGACAATGACAAACGAAACAGCATACACACTGACAAGAATATGTCTTCGATAAAAGAAGAACCCCGCCGTTGTTCTTCTGATGCAGGGATACTCCGTTCCGTTCTTCATAGGTCGTGTTCCAGACGGTTCATCC